GAGCTGGATGAAGCTAGGAGGACCACATCATCCGCAAAAAGCAGAGACGAGATTCTCCTGCCACCAAACTCGACACACTCCACACCACGGCTGCGTCTAGAAATTCTGTCCATAAAAGTGATGAACAGAACCGGTGACAAAGGGCAGCCCTGGCGGAGTCCAACCCTCACTGGGAACAGGTCCGACTTACTACCGGCTATGCGGACCAAACTCACGCTCCTCTGGTAAAGGGACTGAATGGCCCTTAATAGAAAGCCACCCACCCCATACTCCTGGAGCGTCCCCCACAGGGTGCCCCTGGGGACACGGTCATAAGCCTTCTCCAAATCCACAAAGCACATGTGGATTGGTTGGGCAAACTCCCATGCCCCCTCCATCACCCTTGCAAGTAGGGTTGTCACGGTATGAAAATTTAACCTCACGGTTATTGTGACCAAAATTATCACGGTTTTCGGTATTATCGCGGTATTTTTTAAACGGTGTTGCATATGTTCAGAAAGCATTGATAGTCCTGTTCTACACAAACTGAAATAGTTCTGAAAAGGTTTAACAGTGTTTATTAAACCTAAAATAACACAAAGCCTTAGCAAAAGTGCAACTTTTCACAAGTAAAGGAACAAATAGCTTATTTTTCTGGAACATGTTACAGTAGTCAGTGCAGGTTTAAATTATACAAATCCAAACATTCAAAACATAAACAATATGTAAACAAATCAAAGAAACACCACTTGTTTTCTCATATACTTGTTTTCTTCATTATCAAAATGAAAATCTAAAACTCCAGTCCACACTTGACTTGAGCACTGTACAAGTCAACCTTAAAAAATATGTATTTAAAATAAATATCCACTTTAAACAAATTACTAAAATAACTACTACACTATGTAATCAAATCCAAATGTTCAAGTATAAATGGCATTGAATAAGTAAACAAATCCATGACAAGGAACTAATTGTATATTTCTCTTCATCATCAACAAATAAGATGCTTCATCCAGCAACAGGGTGTCCGTGACACGGTTTAAATGCTGGCAGAGGGCGCTGCTGCTGCAGTATATAGTGACTCGTTGCATTCTCCCTCAGCCAAAAGTCCTCACGTCATGCATTTCAGCTAAAATGCTAATGTTAACTTACCTTGCACTGGCTGTAGAGACGTGGGTGATCGTCACGCAGATGTGCCATGAGATTTGAAGTGTTGCTGCCTTCTGCAGACACTTGTTTCCTGCACGTTCTGCAAACGGGATAGCCGTCTTCTATTAACTGTCCCTCAGCATTTTTCAGAAATCCCAAATATGCCCATACTTCCGATTTAGTCTTCTTTGAGGGCTGATGGATGTCCTGGGCGCTGCCGTCGCCTCCTTCGGCCATTATTTCAGCTTCAAAGTTTTGCTGCCGTTGCAAATTAAAAAGTGCGTGTGCGCGCAGCGGGAACTTCAGCTGAAGCGACGGTGGCTGGTAAGGGTCATCGCGCCGAAACCGCGGCCACGGTAAACCCACCGAGATAATATAGTTTTTTAAAAACTGGACGGTTATTTTTATTGTCAACTTTTTTACCGGGGTTTACCGCTATACCGGTTACCGTGACAACCCTACTTGCAAGGGTATAGAGCTGGTCCACAGTTCCACGGCCAGGCCGAAAACCACATTGCTCCTCCTCTATCTGAGATTCAACTATCGATCGGACCCTCCTCTCCAGTACCTTGGAGTAGACCTTTCCAGGGAGGCTGAGGAGTGTGATCCCCCTATAGTTGGAACACACCCTCAGGTCACCCTTCTTAAAGATGGGGACCACCACCCCGGTCTTCCACTCCCTAGGAACTGCCCCCGATGACCACGCAATGTTGTAGAGACGTGTCAACCATTACAGCCCTACAACATCCATAGCCTTGAGATACCCAGGACGAACCTCATCCGCCCCCGGGGCTCCGCCGCTGTGTAGTTGTTTGACTACCTCAGCAACTTCTGCCCCCGAGATCAGACAGTCCATCCCCAGGCCTCCCAGCTCTGGTTACTCCTCGGAATGCGCATTGGTGGGATTGAGGAGCTCCTCAAAGTATTCCTTCCACCGTCCGACTATAGCCTCAGTTGACGTCAGCAGCTCCCCATCCCCACTGTAAACAGTGTGAGCGAGTTGCTGCCTTCCTCTCCTGAGGCGCCGGACAGTTTGCCAGAACCTCTTTGGAGCCGATCGATAGTCTTTCTCCATGGCCTCACCAAACTCCTCCCACGCCCGAGATTTTGCCTCGGCAACTGCCACTGCTGCACCCCGCTTGGCTATCCGGTACCTGTCTGCTGCCTCCGGAGACCCACAGACCAGCCACGCCCTGTAGGCCTCCTTCTTCAGCCTGACGGCTCCCCAAACCTCTGGTGTCCACCAGCGGGTACGGGGGTTGCCACCACGACTGGCACTGGCCACCTTACGACGACAGCTAGCAACAGCCGCCTCGACAATCGCAGAGTGGAACAAGGCCCACTCGGACTCAATGTCCCCCACTGCTCTCGGGACGTGGTCAAAGCTCTGCCGGAGGTGGGAGTTGAAGACCGTCTTGACAGGTTCTTCTGCCAGGCGTTCCCAGCAGACCCTCACTATGCGTTTGGGTCTGCCAGGTCTACGCGGCATGTTCCCTTGCCATCTGATCCAACTCACCACCAGGTGGTGATCAGTTGACAGCTCCGCCCCTCTCTTCACTCGGGTGTCCAAAACATACGGCCGCAGGTCAGATGATACGACTACAAAATCTATCATCGACCTGTGACCTAGGCTGCCCTGGTACCAAGTGTACCGGTGGGCATCCTTATGTTCGAACATGGTGTTCGTTATGGCCAAACTGCGGCTTGCACAGAAGTCCAATAACAAAACACCGCTCGAGTTCTGATTAGGTGGGCCGTTCCTCCCAATCACACCCCTCCAGGTCAAGCTGTCATTGCCCACGTGAGCATTGAAGTCCCCCAGCAGGACAATGGAGTCCCCTGTTGGAGCACTATCTAGCACTCGTCCCAGGGACTCCAAAAAGGGTGGGTACTCTGAACTGATATTTGGCCCATAAGCACAAACAACAGTCAGGACCCGTTCCCCGACCCGAAGGCGCAAGGAAGCTACCCTCTTGTCCCCCGGGGTAAACCCCAACACACAGGCAGAGAGTCTCGGGGCTAACAAAAAGCCAACCCCATCCCTCCGCCTCTCACCCGGAGCAACTCCAGCAAAGTAGAGTGTCCAACCCCTCTCCAGGTCTCGGGTTCCAGAGCCAATGCAATGTGTCGAGGTGAGTCCGACTATATCTAGCCGGTACCGCTCAACCTCTGCCACAAGCTCCGGCTCCTTCCCCGCCAGCGAGGTGACGTTCCATGTCCCAAAAACTAGTTTTCTTGTCCGGGGATTGGACCGCCAAGGCTCCCGCCTTGGTCTGCCACCCGATTCGCATTGCACCGGACCCTTCATGTTCCTCCTGCGGGTGGTGGGTCCACAGTTGGACGAGCCCATATATCCGGTTCGGGCTGGGCCCGGCCGGGCCCCATGGGCGAAAGCCCGGCCACCAGGCGCTCGCTCACGGGCCCCAACCCCAGGCCTGGCTCCAGGGTGGGACCCCGGTAACCCTCCGGGCCGGGTACTCCGACTCTTCGTTTTAACCGCCATGAAAGATCCTTCGAACCGTTCTTTGTCTCACCCTTCACCTAAGACCAATTTGTCATGGGAGACCCTACCAGGGGCACTAAGTGCCCCAGACAACATAGCTCCTAGGATCATTAGGGCACTCAAACTCCTCCACCACGATAAGGTGACGGTTCAAGGAGGAGTGTGTTTAAGTTGAATTAAAAAATGCTTCAAACACATTTCCTTCTTTCTATAAGAATGCATGAGAGCCTGACCACTTTCTCGTTAATTAAACATAATCGGTATGTAGATAGTTGAAGTGGGAGTGCAAGAACATACATTCAGAAGGTAAGTGAGGGTTTGGGGGTTTGAATGTTTGGCCAAGAAGCAAATGTGAACCAGTTTCACTCTGAGTGACTCGAAGGCTGAACCTGGTTGCTGGTGCTGCTCTGAGATACCCACCAGCCCAAATGGTGACTGGAAAAGCTGGTTAACAACAATGAAATGGGTTCTGGCCCCATCTTCCGAAAGCCTGACATATCTGCTCGGCAGCAGACTGTTAGCATTTAGCTGGGACTGCTCTGCCCGCTGCTCAGACAGAGCACTACAGATGCCAGCATTATACTGAATGATGTCACAACAACGCTGACAGCTGAGCCGGAACAGCAGACTTCACTTTTGGCTGGCTGTGGTTTGTTGACAAGCTGCCCAGAGAGTGGAGTAGATTTTCATGCTGCACTAAGAGCTGATTTTATCACAGAAAACAAATTCTCTTTGGAGACTCTTTTTTTTTTTTTCATTTGTCAGAACACAGATGCAGTTTTGAGGGTGGCTCTAGAATCGGGGGAGGAGTCCCACAGTTTATGCACTCTCATATTATGATCATAATAAAGGAGGACGCTGTATCTCGTCTAAATTTTATGTCCCATATGGTCAGCGGTCAACTAACTCCTGTCCAAATCTGTCCATCTGTAAAACCAGGATTATTTTCTAATCACTGACTGGCTCCATGAAAAGTCTCGTAGTTGAGATGGTGGATGTCTAGAAAACTCAATTAGGTGGTGAGATCTAGGATCAGAATCAAACAGAAGCTTACAGGAACATGTTGTATATGAACAGTTCATCTCTGAGGAAGATTAGTTTTAACAGAAAACTTGTGGCTCTGTAACCATAGCAACATAAAACTGTAGAGGTCGTGTTTCCTGGCGTTGTAAGTTGTAGGTGAGTATCTGAATTGATGTGAGTGACACTTGTTTTCTTGTTTTGTCAGAATCAGAAGGGTTTTATTGCCATATGTGTGAGAATCACATCAATGGGAAAGTGCTGCAGTACTTGTTACATAAAAAAAAGATAAAATAAGAGATAAGATCTCCTTCTCATTCTTTTCCTCAAATGTCCATTTCTGCAGAGTGTGCTCATTTGCTTCTGGCCCACAATGCTCCAGTGAAGGTGAAGAATGCTCAGGGATGGAGCCCCCTCGCTGAGGCCATCAGCTATGGAGATCGACAGATGAGTGAGTATCTGAGAGAGGTTGCTACACACAACCCACACAGCCTTGTGTTGGCAGACGTTTATAGCTGTGACTCCGTAGGGGTTTCAGTCTGAGCTTTCCTCTGTAAAAACTTTGATGGGACAGAAAGAAGTCTTGATGCAAAATCAGCATAAAGTCCTTTTGCACATTCCTCCACACTGCTGCCTCCCAGCGAGGCCACCATGGTGGCCTGGCTCTTTTGTTCCTCAGAGAGAGGGGACATTCCTCCAGGCCCTCTGGCTCTGTACTCTGATGAAAGCATACTCATTAGATATTTCTCCCACTCTTTATTGATTGCTCACAAGCCTGCGTCGGCCCAGCTGGTTGTGAAAGGACTGGAGCTTGTGGAGTTTTCTTGTCTCTTGGATCTGTGATCAGCTGACGGGTACAAGCTTGCCCTGCTGGTTGATGCCACAGTAGGTCATTCTGAACCAGACCCTCTGATGGGCTAAAGCAGACGATAGGGTTTGGTCACCGTATGGACGCTTTACCAGCTGATGGCTGAAAGAAAATAGACTTTACTCTCCACATATAGACCTGGCTGTCATGATTGCATTATTAAAGAAAAGCTGCTGATGCAGGTAAACTGTTAGCGTTTTCTCTGTTCAGCACAATAACTGTGGAGTCCTTTTTGTCAAGGTTAACCTGGCAGAACTCTGCACCACAGTGAGACCTGACTCAGCTTGTGTCAGGACTTCATGGAGGAAGTGGAGACCGAGTAGCTTTGTGTTTGTGTTACAGACAGAAAAACATCCTGGCCTGAATAGATACTTTTGTTCTAGTTTTGGAGTTCTGGATTGCTCTTGCTTCCCGTGAGAACTGTTAGATAAGTTATTTATTTGGTAGGCAAAAAAACAAAAAATTGTCTTCAGAATATAATATTTAAAAGTCTTAAATGTTATTTTTAGATGCTGTGATTTATTTCTGTTACCTGCCTATATTTGTTGCAGCTGGGTTCATTTATCACATGAGTGTTTTTCTTTTCTCCTAGGAGGCAAACTGTGGCTCAGAAGTAGATGTTGTGCTTTTTCATTCAGAAGGAGCTATTTCTGTCCTCACTTGCCTTTCACTCACACCGCTGTACAGCCTGAGTCAGTGGGGTTTAAAGACTGAGAGATTGGTGTTATTAGATGGAGAGCTGCTTTTCCAGGGGAGTGTCAGACTGTGATGGGTTCTGCCGGGCGAATAAACAAGCAGCTTACACCAAAACCATCTGCTGAAGGGTTGAGGTTAACACCATCAGATATTACGAGGAGCTTGGATATGATGCATGTCAAGCTGCGTTTTAGAGGGGATAGTTGAGTTATGTGCAATAGCATAAAGGAAGAACGGTCAGCCATTTTCACTCAGCTGGTGCACCGGTTTTTCTAAATACAGTAAAACAGTAGAAGGAGTTGCATCTTCAAATTATTTGTACCATTTGCTTATATTTAGAGAGCGGGACTTATAACTTGTTTCACATTTTATTGTGAAACACAAAGACTAAGATGTTTTCTGCACCGATTGAATTTGAACGTTGCTTTCGTTCTTCAATTGTCTGTGTTACATAGGTCCTACAACTACTTTTTTACAAGTAGAAACTTGTATCCGAGACTGTGTATAGCAAAAAGGCCAATGAGCCAAATACAACTTCATAATGGGGAGCCTAAGTCACGCCCATCTACATTTGGTCCTTTACTGCCCAATAAATGAATGAGTCAGTGGTCTGATAAAAGTTATTTTCTGATACGGTTTGACATGTGCCATGGACTTCACATACGATCTCCGTGAATTTTAAAGATACATTTTGATGCTAAGAAAGTGCTTATTTCGACAGGCAGCAAAAGCTATTTTAGGTTGTAGAGGACTCCAACTGCTCGTCTGACCAAACAGGTAGAAGAGAAATGCCCGAGTTTAGCGAGCTTCACATCCTCCTTCCTGGACGAAAGAAGGAGCGTTAAACGTGGAGAAAAGCACTAGAAATCTGGCCATGTGGAAAATGGCAGCTATGCCGGGGAGAAGAGATTCTTCAGTGATGTCACTGATGTGACTCCTGATTTAAGTCTTTTTAATTATGAATTTGAACAAGCAAATAAATCTCAAAAAGGCATCCAGCGAAACATTAAAAGGGGTAATCTAATAATGCGAGGAGGTAAACTAAAGGTAAGAATTGTTTTATTGTGTATTTGTTAGAGTTTTCCCTGCACTCATTTACCAAAGAGAGCTGCCTGAACATTTTCCTGGGCCACATGAATGTTTTTTTTCCTCACAAAAACGGCGCTAGAAGACCCAAATGCTGATAACATTGCAGCCGTAACGGAAATGTGTCACTCTGTGCATTTGGTTCGGTTCAGCTCCAGCCATCCACTCCGCCCTGCCGTTGCTTGCTGCTGCCACCACTTTTATAACCAGGGGAAACCCCAGATGTGTACTCACCAAGCAAATACTTTTCAGTTGATCACATTTAATGCTTTTCTTCCCACCCATGGACATCTTCTCCTTTTGGACATAAATTGTTAAACTGTTACCGGCATAGACATTAATACACACTACTTAAACAAGTCAGTCAGACCTCTGTGAAATCAAACTGTCCACTTAGGAAGCAACACTGATCGACAATCAGTTCCACCTGTGGTTGTGCGAATGGAATAGACAATAGGTGTAAGTTATAGGCAAAAAGCAAGACATCCCCAATAAGGGAGTGGTTCTGCAGGTGGTGACCACAGACCACTTCTCAGTTTCTTTGATTTCAGGCTGATTTTTTGGTCACTTTTGAATGCTGGCGGTGCGTTCACTCTAGTGAGATGGAGTCTACAACCCTCTCAAGCGCTCAGGTAGTGCAGCTCCTCTAGGATGGCACATAAATGTGTGCTGTGGCAAGAAGGTTTGCTGTGTCTGACAGCGTAGTGTCCAGAGCATGGAGGCACTACCAGGAGACAGGCCAGTACATCAGGAGACGTGGAGGAGGTTAACAACCCAGCAGCAGGACTGCTACCTCCGCCTTTGTGCAAGGAGGAACAGGAGGAGCTCTGTAAAATGACCTGCGACAGGTCACAAATGTGCATGTGTCTGCTCAAACAGTCAGAAATAGGCTCCATGAGGGTGGTGCAACTGAGGGTTGTGCTTACAGCCCAGCATCATGCAGGACGTTTGGCATCTGCCAGAAAACACCAAGATTGGCAAATTCACCACTGGTACCCTGTGCTCTTCACAGATGAAAGCAGGTTCACACTGAGCACATATGACAGACATGACAGAGTCTGGAGACGCCATGGATAATGTTCTGCTACCTGCAACATCCTCCAGCATGGTCGGTTGGGCAGTGGGTCAGTAATGGTGTGGGGTGGCATTTCTTTCAGGGGGTGCACAGCCCTACATGTGCTCTCCAGAGGTAGCCTGACTCCCATTAGGTACCGAGATGAGATGCTCACACCCCTTGTGAGGCCATATGCTTGTAGTTGGCCCTGGGTTCCTCCTGATGCAAGACGGTGCTAAGCCTCATGTGGCTGGAGTGTGTTAGCAGTTCCTGCAAGATGAAGGCATTGATGCTATGAACTGGCCTGTCCATCCCCAGACCTGAAACCAATTGAGCACATCTGTTTTTGTCTGGATTGATTACAATTTATTTTTGTCACAAAAAGAAAAATTCAAAGCAGACCAGACAAAAACTTGTATAGCCCTGTTCACTTACATTAGGTGTTTTTTTATTGGGTCAGAGAACTCATGAGCCCACCAGAAGGGGAGGAGACTTAGGCTCCCTATAAAGCCCCACCATAAGTTTACGATGTGTTGAACCAGCTTTTCTCAAAACCAGCTGCTCCTCAGTGGCTGTTACAAGATTACTAATGTGCATAGAAAAGCGGTCAGACACAGCAGTCTTTTTGGTATGCTACTTTAGAAACCTCAAGCTGCCTACATTCAACAAGGTAAATGTGGTTTTGAATTCCAGGACCCCTTTAATAAAAGCAAAGCACTTCCCATGTTACACCTGCTAGGACACATGGACGTGTAGTGAATAATGGCTCCCGGATTCCTAGAAACCTGCCAGCAGCTGTTCTTAAATTACATCCAGGAACCAACTCTTGAATAAATACACTTTGTGAAGATGGAAAGACAAAATTGCTCTGACTCTGTCTGTTATCATTAGTGCATGGGGCTAAAATAACCATGAACTGACTTCATTAATGCCAATATAGTGTCCTTATCTAGGTGAATTAGTGCTAGCTCTGACAGTCTGTCTGGTGGGTTGTTGTCGGTGGTTTGGGTGGTCCAGATGGGAAGGCTGGACTCTTTTCCTTGTCATACTGAGAGGCGTTGAGGATCAAGAGGAGCCCCATCCAGAGCTTGTCAGCATTCATTAGTCCTGGCCACAGCGATGCCCTTGCATTGAAGTTGTGTGTGTTGTGTGTATCTGTGCATGCTCACACTTGCACTCTTGTTTTGGTCTAGCTGTGTGATTAAAGCCCTCTGTCCTCCTTTGGCCCGCCACATGGGGAGCACCACCGAAACAATACCAACAACGTATTTGTGTTGGTTGACTCATCACCATCACAGAGGGGAGCTTTGCTGGTAGCCAAGATCTTTTTTTAGCTTCTTAGCAGCCTGGTTATCACATGCACAGGCCTAACTAATGTATTACCCTCCTAGCTTCATCAGAGACTTGCACTATATTATGATGCCTTCACTTCCTGCAGAGCAGCAAATGATATTTAAATAAACACATGATAATCAGATGCAGGTGCCCTTTTTCTTTTTCCCTTGACCTTACCAAAAGAGCTATGAATGTGCTTTAATGTGACTGGTCATGGTTGGAGGTCCCCTGTGAGTACGGCTCTCCCTCAGGTTGTTAAGGCGGTTATAGACGCAGCTCATTACCAGGCACTATCTGCCAGACGCCTTCTCTTTGAACTTCCTGGATCTTTCTGATCCCTGCAGGCAGTGCAGCAGGATCGGCTGCACCATTCTGTGGATGTCCAGGAGGTTTGTCTGTCGGACAAAATGTTTTGCTACAGTAAGGTGAACGGGATTGTTTTTGGCTGCAGGATTCACACACACAGAGAGAGAGAGACTGTTATTAGAGTTAAAATGCAGCCTGTGGCTGTAGGCATATCTACCCTGGGCTGCACATTTTTGTCACTCTGCCCTATCTTCTCCATGTGGTGCTGTTTTCACGTCTCAGCCGACGGCTGCTGCTAGCTAAAGTTTGCTCGTGCTCAACACTGTCAGATTCAACAAATGTATCCAACTGCAGGAGTCAAGACAAGAGGTTTTATTTTAAAACAATTTTGCTCTGATCTGTCAAACCAACAGTGTTGGTTCATGGAGCACATTAGCACATCCAGTTAGCATTTTTCTTAAAATGAAAATGGGATTTTGAGCTCAGTTTTTGACTCAAGAGTAAAATCTCCACTTGTGTGTTGATGTTTTAGTCTGAGTAATGCCTCTGTTTGTCTCTGTCTTATCCCTCAGTCACTGCATTGCTGAGAAAATTGAAGCAACAGTCCAGGGAGAGCGTGGAGGACAAAAGGCCCAAACTACTAAAAGCCCTCAAAGAGGTATGTGGTTCTCAGTAGCACTGCTCTTGACATTTTAAGGAGTTTCTCTTTGTGCTCTCTCCTTCCCATTTTATTGCTGTTTATTGCTTTTTGTTTGTGCTGCTGGATTGTTCAAAATGGATTTCTCTCCATGCTTTTAAAGACTTTTTAAATTGATGTGTAGGCGTGCGTGCTTAGAGTTACAGGGTGAAAATAGAGGATTCAATCAAAACCAGACCTCAGTCATTGTTGTTATTTAAATGACTGTCATTCTACCGAAGTAGAGCCTGGAGCGAAACAAGTGTGCACATTTATCAGCTGCTCAGAACAAAACACATTATGCACGTGTGAAAGTTAAAAATACTACTGTTGAGGTTTGACGTCAGTAGTTCTAACACACACACACACACACACACACACACACACACACACACACACACACACACACACACACACACACACACACACACACACACACACACACACACACACACACACACACACACACACACAGCTCAGCCTGAATGGTCCCTCAGGTTTCACTTGTCGTCACACCCTGGTATAATATTACTTACTAGGCAAGTAGTCACACAAATGCTTCAGATTAATATGGACTCTCTGGAGCTGGAATGATATTGGTTATTATTATACATGGTGATACATTTTAGCATCCACATGCCCACAATAATCATAAAGCTATAAATATTTACCTTATTATGTTAATTTTTCTCTCTTATAGTGAATTGATTTGTCATCCACAGCTTGGAGATTTTTACTTGGAGCTTCACTGGGATTTCCAGAGTTGGGGTGAGTCAAATGCAGGTGATGTGTGCAGCTCACACCTGTGCTGCCTCCGTTTGGCCTGAGCGAATTACCAAAATATTCGAGGTGCCTGAATAAACCGATTCACATCCCAATCGCAGTTCTTATTCATAAAGATTCTGAATCGATCCTTTCTGATGGACATATTTCCGAGCGTCCCTGGATGCATCATCGCTGGAGCTGGCGCTAGCTGCACTGCTCTGCTTTGTGTTCCTACATTGCAGTCAGCTGAAATACGACAGAGACTTACCTTTGTTATTATCCTCTGTGTGTTTTATGCATCAAAAATTCTGTTCCATCATGTTTCATTATGTTTAAATGGTGTTTTCCTGTTTAGTTTTTGTGTTGGGCAGCAGTAGCTCAGGATGATGAGCGAGTTGCTCAGAAATCGGAAGGTAGCAGGCTCGATCCTGGCTCCGGACACCCTCGTAGTTTACACTGTAGTTGACACAGTTTTGTTACTATATATATATGTGTGTGTGTATATATATATATATATATATATATATATATAGATTGATTGATTGATTGATTGATTGAGAATCGATTCTGAATCTAGAATTGGAATCGAATTGAATCTTGAGTTGCTGTAAGAGTCACATTCCTACAAATCATCCAAGCTTAAAGATCAGCTGACCTGAGATCAGATTCTGGATTTCACTCCTCCAGCTGGACACGACCCCACTCACCATCTTTTAAAGTGGCTGATCTTAGACAATCGCGTTCATGCATTGTAAACATGGTCTTTTAATTGAATAAAAAAAAAAAACGGCAGTTCATCCTTAACTGTTAAAGTTCCTTTTCCGTTTTTGTGACTACAAGAAAAATGAGGAAAAATTGAGTTATTAAATATTTAGCAGCATAAGTCCATGTTACTGCTGCTAAATGGGACTCGTATGCAGGGTTATATATTTCCAAAGCTTTGAAGTGGTCTTAATTTGTAGTGTGCTTATTAAATTTAGAGCTTCTCAGATTATTTTTAACATGTTTTCTCTGTATTGTTTCACCCCAAAGTGCCTCTGCTGTCCAGAATCCTGCCGTCAGACGCGTGCAAGATTTACAAGCAAGGCATCAACATCAGGCAAGTCTTGGGTTTCTTTATCTACATCAGATGTTGATGTTTGATTCAAGATCATTTTATTGTCATTGCCCTGGTGTACAACAAAATTGACTTTGCACTCATTAAAGACCGCTCATGTAAGAGGTAGTAAAGTAAAATAAAATAACTAGGCTAAAATAGAAGTCACACACATTCTCTCTCTCTCTCTCTCTCTCTCTCTCTCTCTCTCTCTCTCTCTCTCTCTCTCACACACACACACACATGCACACACACACACACACACACACACACACACACAACACACACACACACACCTTTTGCACACACAGCCAGTGTGTTTGCCAGCCAGTTTGTGAAAAAGGAAAGTTTTAGTGAGAGGGCCTTTTATTTATTAACAATGATACTTTTATGGTCCTTTTGTGCTGCTGCACCTCTTTTCATTCCCTTTGCTGCTCGTTAACTAACTAGAGTGTGAGATCAGCGCATGCAGCAGGAGGAGGCTTCTGTAACTTCTGTCTCCATCTGAGTCAGCAGCTCATAGATGAGGAGTTACTGTCGAGTTTACGATTAGCTCAGTTCCAGTGTCAGCAGAAAGCTGTCACGGTGTGTCACACACACACGTGTTAGTATAAATGTCATAATAGAGACATTTCCTTTATTTCTAACTTGGATTTCTCCGTTTTAATCCAACACCCACCCACCAAACCATCTGAAAACTAAACATGTTTCTGTTCTTGCCTCACATGAGGTAACCAAACCTTGATGAAGAGTGACTCATTCTGCTCCAGAACGGCTCCTGGCTGTATCGTTTGGTATCACAATGCCCTCTCCTTATTCTAGATATGTAATGGAGGCTTCACCAGAACATGATCTTCAGCTCTCGCTGGAGCGGTTTGCAGCCGAGTGTGAAGCAGCTGGGATGAGAATCAGCTCCTCTAAATCTGAGACCATGGTCTTGATGCCTTCTCTGGGTCAGGGATGAGGTCCTGCCCCAAGTGGAGGAGTTTAAGTATCTCTGGGTCTTGTTCACGAGTGAGGGAAAACTGGAGCGTGAGCTCGATAGGCGGATTGGTGCTGCATCTGCAGTGATGCGGGCGTCGTACCAATCTGTCGTGGTGAAAAGAGAGCTGAGTCAAAAGGCAAAGCTCTCTATTTACCAGTCGATCTACGTTCCTACCCTCACCTATGGTCATGAGCCGTTCCTACCCTCACCTATGGTCATGAGCCGTTCCTACCCTCACCTATGGTCATGAGCTTTGGGTAGTGACCGAAAGAACGAGATCGCGGATACAAGCAGCCGAAATGAGTTTTCTCCGAAGAGTGGCTGGGCTCAGAGATAGGATGAGAAGCTCGGTCATTCGGGAGGGACTCGGAGTAGACCCTCTGCTCCTCCACATTGAGAGGAGCCAGTTGAGGTGGCTCGGGCATCTGGTCAGGATGCCTCCTGGACGCCTCCCTGGTGAGGTTTTCCGGGCACGTCCAACCGGGAGGAGACCTAAAGGTAGACCCAGGACACGGTGGAGGGACTATGTCTCTCACCTGGCCAGGGAACTTCTTGGGATTCCCCCAGAGGAGCTGGCCCAAGTGGCTGGGGAGAGGGAAGTCTGGGCCTCTCGACTTAGGCTACTGCCCCCGGGACCCGACTCCGGATAAGCGGATGAAAATGGATGGATGGATGCATGTAATGGAGGGGAAAAAAGAGACAGAGGAGTTGACAGAAAAACAAAACAAGAAACTGTCACCCCGAGTTAATTTGCGTTCTGCTGCTACAGCATGTCAGGCTTTCCGTGGCATCTAACCCTGGATGTCTGGGCTTCACAGTCAGATCAGCAATTCTCTTTGCTCCCATGCTTTATTTGAAGATGACATACATGCAGAAAAAGAGAGGAATTCTGAGTTTGTTGCTGTGATTAGCATGCAGAAAGGATCCGAACCATAACGGCATGTTTTTCTACTGAAATCAGTTTGATGCTGTTTTTGCTTCTGTGATTATGAAGCCAGGGGAAAGAAACACTTGTGAAGTGAGCTCGTACCCATCCTGTAATTTTCTTTTTGCCTCCTTTACTGAATGTGTTTGTGGAAGCAGACTGGATACGACCCTGATAGACTTTACGGATATGAAATGTCAGCGTGGAGACCTCAGTTTCATCTTCAACGGCAACGCCGTCCCCTCTGAATCTTTTGTTGTGTTGGACAATGAACAGAAAGTCTACCAGCGGATACACCACGAGGTGTGTGATGTCCTCTGTACCTTCAATGCTATTGATGTTTTCATTAATGAGCAACAGCTCATGTTGTTTTTAAGGTGTTATTTGGATGGAGAGAGCAGGATCTATCTCTCCACCTATTATAATTTATTTCAGGCTGTGTTTATCGGCAGGAATCCGAAATGGAGACCGAGGAGGAAGTGGACATTCTGATGAGCAGTGACGTTTATTCCGCCACACTCTCCACAAAGTCCATCACCTTCTCCAGAGCGCAGACCGGATGGCTGTTCAGAGAGGACAAGACGGTTGGTGTCCCCTTCCCCCGAGGCCTCTGGGTCTTACCTGGCTGTAAGATTCCAGGAATTGTGACATGTGAAAGACACGAAACAGATAAAACCCAGGATTTCACCAATTCTACATCTCCTCAGCCCAGATTTATTCTAATATTATGATTTTTTTTTTATTAAATCGATGGAAACATTTTAAAAAGATAATCCTGTTTAGTATGTCCACGCACGTTTATGCACCATCAAATCCAGTTTTCTGGTCATGATGCAGCAACATGCTTAACTGATCATTTTTATTTAGTTTCATTGATTTTATATAAACACTGATGAGATTTTGGAGTTTCTAGAAAAGTAAAACCCAGAAGGAAAAGAAGTGAATTTTCACTTTTACAATTAAATAAATACAATTTTATTGGGATTTCAAATTTTAAAGTACCTCGAAAGTATTTTCAGCCCTTCTCTTTGACCATTTTTCTTTATAAATGCTCATTAAAAGATCGTTTTACAAATACTGTCCTTATTTTTTAAAGTTCATCTTAAACTAGGCCAAACCTGACACCTTATTTTTTTTGCTCTATTTGAATTTTACCTTTTTAAATAAGCAATCGTCATTGCTTCCAAACAGACATGTAGTGTCCATAACATCACCTTGTGTTTTTTTAAGTGCCTGTTTTTGTAAGAGGGTTGATGTAAAGGGACTAGAGTTCCTCTCTCTTTACCAAACACTCACATTTCCTTCTAAATCTACAACAGCAGGCAGGGAAGGCTGTACATAAATGAGAGTAGCAGCAGTAATAACAGTAGGAAGCAGCTACAGGTGGCGGGCCCGAGGTTAAAAACAACAAACACTGAGTGGGAGCGCTGAAGGAGATATGGGGTATTATTGCTTTCTGTCCTCTTTATCTCTTCTCCTTGAACTTGTATTTAAAAGCAAACTGGTGATCTGTTTGTTCTCCCTCCAGGAGCGTGTGGGAAACTTCCTGGCTGATTTCTACTCTGTGAACGGACTGGTTCTGGAATCCAGGAAGAGACGGGAGCATCTGAGCGAGGAGGATATCGTGAGAAATAAAGCCATCATGGAGAGTCTGAGCAAAGGAGGGAACCTCATCGACCAGAACTTTGAGGTGACTGCGGGATCTTGTCTGCGGTGTACTTATTAAAAACGGAGTAACTGGAGACAGAATTCAGGCAGCAGGGGTTCGGCACACAGTACACCACATCACAGTTTTCCTAGGCAGCATCTCCGAAAAGATCCACCGGGGTTGATCCAGGGGAAGTTTTTATTACTAACACGTACAGAGTCACACATACACCGACCTGGTCATCTGTGGCTCAACTTTGAGCATCTGGACCCTTTGTATTTGTATCAATAAAAACTGCAGTAGACTTATTAGCACAACTCCTTTCTCATCTGCACATTGGCCAGTCTAAGCAGACTCTGGACAAACAAACATTTTAACTCTGGCTGAGGCCTGTAAGACGAGGTGACATCTGAAACGTGGATATGGCCTGCTGAACCTACGATATCACTGGCCCCAACAACTGAAGTTGGTCCGGGTGCTGAGTGTTGGTCTAGCATTGAAATACAGTGATGGAAGATAAAAACATCACTTGTTTGCTCAGGATTGCGTTGGCCAGCATGATAATGATAATAAACTTTGAATTAACTTGTTCTCCAAGAAAAAGTTTAGATTAATTCCCAGGATGAAACACAGAAGAAACGGTGTTTTCAACATTTTAGCTAAAAATTATGAGTAGAATTTGGGGTGCTACGCGCTCTCCTGATAAATGTGCTGTTTACTCACACCTGCAGCAGAACCACCTGTCCAATCCTGAAACTGTCCAGTCCCGCTGGAACCTTGGGGTAGGACTCGAGCCTCTCAGACAAAAATAAACCTCACAGAACTTCACGTTTGAAGATGTACCCTGTAGGAGCAGCACAAATTTGCTGGATGAATTCTGCGTGCTTTATTGAGAAATTCCTCTGTTCACTGATACTTCTGTTTGTTTCTGACATTAAAAAAAGAGAAAAAGAATGAAAAGGTGCCCCCAACATCACCCATGCATGAATTTGAGTCCCAGCACTGCCGCCTGGTGGCGTCGGCTCCAGTGCTGCACCTTGTTTACGCCCCCAGCCCCAGCTCAGCAACCCCTCACTACAGTATGTTCCAGAGTTTGCTTAGCAAGCTCCTGTTGGAAGCATAAAGCCTCACTCAGTGAAGCCTTTTAACTGCTGTTTTTGTTCTGTGCTGGGCGTTTTGTCATCACACTGCCCTTTGTTGTCACCCTGTCCATTTTTAGTCCCGGGATTCCCACCTCGTCACGCTCTTATCGTGGAACAAATACTTTAGTTTGACTGGAGAAATCATTTCTGCGAAGACTTCATGTAAGATGGGCAGCAGCTGTACCAGTCTCCCATGGCTTTCACACCAAGCTGGACACTATCGATAACTTGAATGATTGCAAAAACGAAACAAAAAATAATCCCTCTGTTCCACAGAATGAGTTGGGCGGGGGCCGGCATACCAGCTAATCAGGGGTTTTGTGTTCTCTGTCCTGGTCGCAACAAGCCAGGGCTAGCACGCCGTGTGCAGAGAAAAATAAAACAACATCAAGTTATCATCTAATGCAGTGTGTTTGCCTAGCTTTGGGTGAGTGTCAGTTATCGGATTAACAGGATGGCACTTGTCCCAGATCCAGCTCCAGGTCGGCCAGGACGACTTGTCCAATCCTAAAATAATCTGACACTGAAGAAGACTCGCTCAAAAGAGTGTGAGCAGAGACAGGTCTTCATCGGGAGGGGTTTCCGTGTGAGGAGGAGGTTTCTCCTTTTGAATGTGGGAATAAAAATAATCTCGAGAATGTGTCGGATGTAGTTGCGACTAACCCAAAAACAGCTGGACCACAGAGGAGTGATGAAGCCGCTAGAGGACATTTTTGTTGTCGAGTCCATTAGGGAATCTCATTGTGTGTAATTTTATTTGTACACACATTACATAATAAAATGTATAGTTTTAGGTATCAAACACAAAAAGCTATCACAACAAAAACATTTAAAACTGGAACTCTTACATCCAGGAAATGTGTCTAGTCGCAAATTCAAGTCCAAACACCCGGAAATGGCTCCAGATTTGGGGTGTCTGTGTGTCCTTTTGGTTTTTGGTATTCCGTGTTTGTTAAATTTCTTGGAAGTCCGGGTACATGCTGTATGCCAGGCTGGAAAGTCCAAAGGTGACTGTAGGTTGATGCATGATGCCCTCTAGTGGCAGGAGCTGGCCACCGCCCACTGTGCTTTTGAACCAGGATGTTATTAATTTGTAATTGAATTTAAATTACAGTAAAGAAAAAGCTAATGTTACATATTTTGTGGGGGATTCCCAAAAGGCTCAGTCTTACCCTGATTTTCTAAATTCTCTATTTCTCATTTGTTTGGTTACTTCTGTCCCCTGTGGCATCATCAAAATGCATTGTTTACGTCAGACAGCAGGACAAAGGAGGTTTCTCATCACTGTTTTTTTTATTCCCTATCTTTTAGTCAACAAGAAGGCAATCCTTAACTCCCCCCTCCCCCAACACTTTATCCTGGGAAGAATACATCAGTGCTGACAACGGAAAGTAGGTGACACATTTCCAGATGTGTTGATAAGGAAACATGTCAAAGTTGCGTGTATTTTTTGGAGCAGATGAAACGTCTTTAATGTTTGCTACTGTTTCCCTCAGAGCTCCTCATCTCGGAAGAGAGCTGGTCTGCAAAGAGAACAAGAAAAACTTCAAAGCCACGATCGCGATGAGTCAAGACTTCCCTCTGGGCATCGAATCGTAGGTTTAAGCCGACCTCCAGGCAGTTGTTAAAAATAAAACCTATGGAACAGGGTTTTTTTTTCTCCCAGCGCAGACACGGCAGTGGTTCAAATGGTTTAAACAGGAAAGGGAAAAGGGCTAGGTCTTTGTTTATTAGATTCCGTCTGTGTTGATGCTGTTTAATGTGAAAACGTGTCGTCCTTCTGCAGGTTACTGAATGTTCTGGAGGTGATCGCACCCTTCAAGCACTTTAATAAACTCAGGGAGTTTGTTCAGATGAAGCTCCCACCTGGTTTTCCAGTTAAACTCGGTAAATATTAGACACTTTTTTACTTCAATTTCCTAAAATCTGCTAAGAAACTGACTTTTTTCTCCTCCTCTGCAGACATTCCCGTCTTTCCCACCATTACAGCCACGGTGACATTTCAGGAGTTTCATCACGATGAGTTTGAGGAATCAATTTTTACCATTCCTAATGACTATAAAGAAGACCCAAGCCGCTTCCCTGACCTTTAACCTCTAACTTCGGACTTCCGAGATGCTCCCATCCACTCAGGGCCCGTTCAGGCCCGGCACTGACGTCTGTCCTGGGTGATGTGGTCACAAGTGTGCAGCTCTAAATGTGTAAACGCTCTCAGGACAGATTGAGGACACGTTTTCACCCACCCTGCTTGGCCTGGCGTGACCTCACACAGACAGATGTTATTTCCTGTTGTCTGTTTTGGATCTGATTATACCAGCTGAGGTCTTGTCAGGACATGTGTGCCGGGTCTGAACTGGGCCTCAGCTTCCGAACACAAACGATTCAGGAACACAACAACCCACGAGGTGATCAAGCTTTGAGGTTCTGACTCTCGCCTCCAGATCTGATCAAATGCGGCAGCTGAGGTGGGAAAGTGCAGGTAACCCTGAGAGTCGGATCATCTCACCGATCTAAGGGCATTGAAGTTCCGAGCGGGCGGGGTCTGAGTAGCAAAAGGAATCCGGGTCAGTCGATGCCTTGTATTTAAGTATGGAAGTAATGGTTGGGGCTGTCTTTATCTGACATGTAGTCAAGCACTGATGTTGTGAGGAATTCTGCTCAGATTCCTACTTTAGGCTCCACTACTACTAGACCTGTCCAGATGCAAAAATCATCACAAGTCACTTTTAATTGAGATTTTAATTCAACGTTGTGTAAAATTCCATTTGATCTCCGATTAAAAAGATTAATTCATTCAGTTTCTGAATAACGTCAAAGGTTTAACCCAAATGGTGAGTCTGATTACCTGTTTTTGGGGAGATTTCCTCTTGTGCACACAGGATTCTGTGATTGTAAGTTTCCATGGTTACAGAGTTGTATCACTGACTTTTTGGGCACTTTTTTAGATCCACTACAGCGGCTTCTGTCAGCTGAGTTTACAGACACTCGTTTTGAAATTTAAAACCTTTAATTCTGCATCAGAGCTGTTAGGTTTGACCCAGGTGAGCTCACCCTGCAGATTTGTGGGGTTTATGGAAGCCTGTGAGTGGCGATGAGTCTAAAGTTGTATAGATTACAGTTTTTAAACCGTATAACAAACCATGTACTGAACAGTGATCAGAGGATGTCATTCATGCTGTTGACACATTAAACCAGGCTTTTGCTCCGTAGTTGTTTCAGTTGGGTATTTTAACCTTTTTTTAATCCTCTCAACCAATAAGCTTGATATTTCAGCATAAGGAGCAGTAGTGTTTAAATGTAGCATCTTGTGAGTTAATCTGACAAGTTATTAGTTTATAAATGTTGGTACATAGTTGTTTTGATGAGAATATTTTTGTTTTGAGCAATTAACCTTAAACGTCCTTCAGATATGTTGAAACAATCATTCCAGCTGTAAGAAAAGCACAAAGTACCTGGAGTGTGTTTTTGGTGCTGCTGATGGATGACGTTGGTACAAGCTGGTGTCTGCAGGATGGCTCAGTAGTGTTCCCACCTTTTGTAAAAACCAAAATTCTGTTTATAACCTTCTAGAGAGCAGCTAGTGGGAGTGTGCCTCGTCACCAAATGTATGCTTTATCGCTCCTTCCAGCTCTGACTTGACATGTTTTCTGTAGGGTTTCATCCAGCTACATGTCAGTTGTACAACAAAAACTGTTGTATAGCTCTGCAACACTATTTTCATATAAAATGTACTAAAATAAAAATGCTCATATCGAACAGCCTGCTTTTGTCTTCAGTTATTTATAGAAACAGGAAAACGTGATGTCACAAGCTAAGAGTTCAACCTGGTTTTATTGGTTTCCTTAGGAAAATCTGAGACTGTTTTTCATCACAACATGTGTCTACAATCTATAGTTAAGAGCTGAAATGGGTGAGTGCACCATTAAATCCAAATAAAAACAAAACAGGTGAGCAAGGACTCAAGTTTTTACAGAAACAGTTTCCTGTCAGGACTCCGTGGAAAAGTACAGAAATCAAAGTTTAAAACCACATTTTATGTTACTCATATTTTAGTTGTTTTTACAAAACAGTTTTGCTCGCTCCACTCCTTCCACAGCACTTCTACGGTTAAGACACCAGCCTGTTTCACCCTGTGGGATCAGGCTCGGACACGTGACCTGCCATAAAAATGTAAAAAGAACTGAAGGAGGCGGCGGCTGGGCTCAGTCGCTCATCTCCATGTCCTCCTGATGGTGATCGTCACCGTTTAGTTTGGACTTTTTAGAGACGCGAGCCTCGACCCGCTCCATCTCCTCACGGCCTTTGGGAGACGATACAGAGTCAGAGTCACTCTTCCTCTCTTCCTCTTCTCCTTTTTCACTGTCGTAACCTTGCTCCTCTTCATCGTAGTCCCGAGTCACCTGTGATGAGAAGAGCTTTAGAAGAAGAGAAAGAGGTACAATTACACCTAATTATTAGCAGTAATAATTATTAATATTTAGTAAAATTTAACTGCTTAAATGCACAGACAATTCCTCACAATCACAACTTCTGACTGAATGAAAGCTGGTTTTCTCAGAGCTACCTCCACTCTGAAGCACAGGGGAGGTTGAGATGCTGTGAGAGTGTTTAGCTGCAAAGTCAATTATCTTGACCCAGCATGGAAATTCCTTTATTCCCGTTTATACTCGGGAAGTAAACTTGTTACTGAGATAAAATAGAGAGACATGCTACTGTGCATCAGCAATGAGCTTAAACATAAATAATTCATCTGCACATTCTTTGTAGAGGTCTGTGGAACAATGAGACATCGTTTCCTTTGCAGGTTTGCAAACCCGTGATCAGAGACGAAGATGGCAGCTGTTTGTTGCACTAAACACTGCAGATGGTGTTTTCGTATTTCCCGACAGTATGAGATTTATTTATGGTACTTTTTTAGTCCAGTCCTACATTCATTTTAACATAAGGGTTTCTTTGATGTACCTTGACGTCTCCTTTCTCGCTGTCAGACTTGCGGTCTCGTTCTCGCTCCTTTTCTTTGTTCTTTCTCTTGCTGGTTGAGTGTTCTCTCTCATCTCTGCTGCGGTCTCTGACCTCCCTCCGGTCCCTGTCCCTCTCCTTCTCACGTTCCTTGTCCTTCTTCTTCTCCTTCTTGTGGCTGATAATTTGACGAGTTACACCAATTTTAATTTCTAGTAATTCTGCAGTAAATGAGATAAGAGAAGGAAAACTCACCGTTTGGGCGACGGAGACCTGGAGGGCTTTCTCTTGGGGGACCTGGAAGCACTGCGACTCCTCCGGTACCTCCTAAAACACACACACACTTTGTGATGATCTGCTTCTCTGACTAGAACACCACGAGAACCGAGAGTTGTTTCCTGCTATGCCTCTGAGTCAAATGCTGTAGCAACACCACTCACCGGTTGATGCTTCGAGACCTCCTGGCACTGCTGTAGCTCTTAGGGGGTGTCTTGGACTTTTTCTTGGACTTTTCCTCCTTCCTCTTATCCCTGTTACAGATGAGCACAAAAACAACGGCACACAGTCACAATTACACAAAACTACAAGTCGCTTCTCCCAAACGGCTTCAAAAATATACACCTGCCACATTCCTTTAAAGGGGTCAGGAGAACAGTATGACCTCGACTACACGAGAGAGAACGAGGAGTGGCTGACCTTGATCTACTGCGTCGACTTCTGTCCGGAGAGTGAGTCCTCCTCCGACGAGGGCTCTTGGACCTCCTCCTGCTTCTCGAAAGAGACCTACGCCGAGACCTGCTCCTCGAACGTCTGCTCAAAGGAGTGGACGTTTCAAGAAGATGCACCATCTCATCACTTCATTATCCAGTAAAAATCAAATCTTTTAGACCCCCACCCCCAAAGAACCTGTCAACTCATTTGTCTCTACCTGTGTCTCGATCGAGAGGCGGAACTCCTGCGTCGTGACCGAGAACGGGATCGGGAATGTTTGCGCTTCTCATCTTTCTTACCTGCAGAGAGTTGATCAAACAAATGTGAACAAGGCTTCCTGTTGAAACGCTAATGAGCAGCTCCACTTTGATTATAAAGTAAAACTTCTACATTCAGGGTAAGAAATGGTTAAACAAAACAGCTCTGTGTGTGTGTGTGTGAATGTACAGAAACTGACTCAAACTCACTTCCTGGTTCAATAGCAGCAGAAATCAGAGACTGAGCCTCTCGGACTCTCTTCATGGCCTCTTCGATCTCCTTGTTGGAGGCATCTGGTTTTAGACCAGGAGTCAAGTTCAGTCCAGCTGCTAATGGATTCAATCTGCAGGAACAAGTGCCACCAAGACTTAAGACACGTAAATATTTCAAGACAGAGCACAGACAATTCTAGTTTTGGGTATTTTCTCACTTTGGGTCAATAGACTGCATGAGTTTCAGGAAGTCTGCAGAAAGAGCCTGAGAGAAAAAGAAAATGTTCATACTTGATCTTTTTGTTTTATGCAGTGACGCCGACTCCACTGGATCCTCACCTGTGGGTTCATGTTGGGCCCTGCAAGTCCCATTGCAGCTATTTGTTCCATGCTGGGAGCCCCAAGACCTCCGAACGGCGTTGCTGCCATCTGAAACGTTCAACATTTACCCTCTCAACACTACAGAGATTCATTTCATTCCCCCCGCAATTCAAGTGTGAAAGATTACCGATGCCAGAGGGTTGGGCGTCGGGAGCAGACCTCCACCGGGCATCATCCCCGCCACAGCGTTGGCTGGAGCCATCAGCGACATGGCTTTAGACTCATCAGGAATAACTCCTGGAGAAATACCAGAAGATTTCAGTACACGCTCAGAGAAACAGAAAAAAATAAAACACTCAGACAAGACTTGCAGGCAAGTCACCTGGGTCTAACTACGCTGCAGTGTAAAATAAAAGATAATAAAACTCCACTCTGTAAATCTTGATGGCTGACTTCTTTTTTTTCTTTGTGTGTGAAAATGTAATTTGTGGGATTAGCAGCTATGAGATCAAAAGTCACAATACACATTGTGGTCAACACTGCCAAGATTTGATCACCTGTACTTGTTTTTTAAGTCATGAACCAAACGTTAGCAAGCACAGCCAGTTGTCCAGTGGGATGTGCTGTCAAATTTCATTATGAACAAGCGACTCGCGCCGGCTGCTTCGCTATAAAGCACACAAAAACATTGAGATACAGAAAACAAAGTTCATGATTTGGGTGTGAAGACAGGGATACATTTCAACATCACTTACCAAAACCACTACAGAAACACTAAAGGCTCACGTTTACCTTTTCCAGCCTTTTGTTGATCCCGTGGTTAAATTACACTCGGCAACCAAATTGTTTGGTAATTAAAAGTCCTACTAGGCTTAAACCAAAAGCATGTTACACAAAACACTAAACAGCGTAAATTACCTGTTCTAAACAATCAAATGATTAAAAATATGATCAGAGCTGAAGAGAACCACATAGGAAAATCCTATGAGATTATCACCCATAGCTGTGCAATCTGAAAACAGGCTATTTTTTATCTTACACGTTTCACATTTTAATAAGAGAGAGAAAGAGACACACACACTCTCACACACACACACACTCAACACAAAAGACACTTGAGAAACAGGATAAGGCTGCAGAAGACAAAACTGTTGGTGGCATTTCAGCGGGGCCTGGTAAATAGGGCTGGCTGAACCAGGAAAAAGAACTGTAAAACACAACAACAAAAGAAACACCACCGTTAAACGTGAGTCACTGGATCAGGCACACAGCCTGAAGACTTGTGTGTTCATGGTAAATCTGGAAAGTCAGCATTTCAATGCCAAACAGTGTGTTTTCATCTTGATCAATAACCGCACGAAATCTTACCAACAGTCCCACCGTCACCTCATCAGAACAGTAGATCACGATACACACCTCTGAGTTTTTAAAGTCTAGCATGCACATAGTTTACGACTTTAGGGGTGCGACAATCATTTCAGTTCAAAATGTGATTTAACTCCAAGCATCCAGGGTCTTGATGCTTTTTCATTAAGAATGTTTCTTAAACGACTCTCGTGTTTTCACCAGCTGATGTGTGGACCTGCCTCCCTGTGCACGCTCCCACACGGCGGCACCTTTAAGAGGGTGGGGGTGCCGCTCCCATCATGGTTCTAAACTGCACCCAAAAGTAGGTATTCACCCACCAGCGCCTGAAAACCCCTGCAACTTTTTAACTGTAGTGCTTTTATTTTTAGGAGACGAGTGTTTTAGGAGCAGCATTACTAATGTTCTAAGCATAAATGCATTTATTTATTACAAGCATTTTAGAAGGGCATGGTGACTCTACAGTAAGTTTAAACTTGCTGCTGAGTGCTGTTAGCGCAGGCATCAACTGGAAAATGTTTGAGCCTAATTCAACCAACTGATACATTGCAAAAACTGGTTTTCAAAAAAGAACTTTAAATAAAGCCTCCATTTTAGACATTTCACTTTATTTTTCATTCTAAAATAACCTTATCTGCAAAAATAATATAAAATATTTATGAATATGATCAAAATGTCTTGTTTTCAGTAATAATAAACCTGAAAAAGCAGCTTGGCTGAAACAAGAAGAGTCATCTGCTAGTTTACCAAAGAAAAACTAGATAAATTGCATTTCTTGCAGAAATGCTGTTTGAATGCTGGATGCCGAAACTGTTGCAAACATTAGAACAAACAAAAACATTAACATTTCAGTTTATATTTATTGTAAATCTTTAACCAGTCCACCTGCTCTTTTTGGACTAAAATAATAACCAATTATTTAGACGCATGTGAAGAAATGCCCAGCACCCTCTTGCCTGCCCAAAGAATTGAGCTGTGCAGCACTTTTTCGTAAAAAAAAAATACATACATATATACATATATATATATATATATACATATATATATATATACATATATATATATATATATATATATATATATATATATATATATATATATATATATATATAGATGTCTTGAAGAGAGAGTAAACTATTTTACTGCAGAACAAAAAAAAGAGAAGGGAGCTTGCGAGTATGGGGCTGTTATTTTTTCTAATCTCCTGTTTGCAGCAGAGGACCACTTTCAGCCAGCAAGGAAGGATCTCTCTGCAAATGACTTGTCCACTACGAAAACCACAACACAAATAACAGAGAGAGAAGTTTACAGCTAGATTGTGAAACACAGACACAAATGTACATTTCCCTTTTACATACCTAGAGATGCCAAGCACAACATAAGCTTAGCAAAAAAATAAAATAAAACAAAAATAAAAAAAGGAATCAGCTAATGCTTACAATTCTATCCATTGCACCTACAAATGTGATTGCCATGTGGATGGCAGAAGGACTAAAAACAGACACCCACCTTCAGCAAAAGGAACCACGATCAAAGCTCTGTCCACGAAGACGGTGTTGGTCAAGTGTTGGGACACTCCCACTGACTCGGGCTCATGGAACTTTACAAAACAGACACGTGAAGTCACAGGCAAGGGAGAGTCACTGGAAGAAAACACAGATATGTTGTGCAAAGAAGACAAACAGGGAAAACCAACATGCCTTCTTCATGCTGCTCAGATAACTCATCAGGGATTCTTTTTCTTATCACCGTCCTAAGAGTTTAAGATCACGTGATGGTAATGTTGCTTTTATTATACCCGACTGTCGAGTTCGAACAAAATTAAGAGAAAATATTTATGAAAATTGTGTGTTTTCCAAAGTGCTCATGATTTCTGAAGTAATGGGTTCAGGTTTTATTATTGGAAACATTTTCATTCCTAGCTAAAATGGAGAAAACTTCCCACCAGTGGAATAACCAGACATAATTAATGAAACAGAAAGGATAAACAAAATTATCAACACAAGTGCATCAGCAAATTATTCACAACTACTAATGTTCTGCTTGATTGATGTGATTTATCTGGTTTAGGATTCAGGCACCCTGGGACGTAATTTTGGGGGGGGACGGGTGGGACATGTCCCCCCCCCCCCCACTTTTTCAAAAGGCAGTTTTGGTCCCCTGCACTTTTTTCCATCCAAAAACAATGTTACGCTCCATTAAATGGATTTGGTTGAGCACTAGGACCGAAACGGAAACTGGTTTACTATTAGACCCGCCCAAAAGCTAATCTATTGGCTCTGCTGATACTTGCTAACGTATTATTGGCTGTTGCTGCTGTCACTCAAGTTGGAAACAGTCAGAACGTGCTCACGTTGTTTTGCTAGTTTGGAGCCGCTAGGGAACACCGGTACTGAGTCACATCGTTAACTAGACGCTGTGTAATATCAGAGCTCAGCTCAGCTTCCATTACATAACATTTGAATAAGTGTTAATTTGTGAGTCTTTGGTAGTTAGGCACAGCCAGGAGGCAGCATGTCAAGAAAACGAAAAGTGGATATAAGAGACTTCTTTCAAAGTCAAAACGTAAGTTGGAACATGTGACAGACCTGCATTAAGCTCAGACTCACCTCCTCCTTCACAAACATACTCAAAACTAACTTTTACAAACTCATCTCCTCCACATAACTGACTCCTCAGACACAATTTATTCGTATTATTATAATTATTATTATTTTTATTATTACTATTATCATCATAATTATTATTACTAGTAGTAGTAGTAGTAGAAGTGTAACTTCAAAACTTTTATCATTTAACTTTATTGTAAACTTATCTATTGCAATGCATATTTTCACATTAAAAAGCTCTGAAAAATGAACAGTATCATCATCGTCAACAGATTTTTTTAAGCTTAATGTCAAAGATGTACACTTTTCATTAGATTTATCTTATTTTTTCCATTTTTTTTTTGTGTGTTGAAATTCAACAACTGTTTAAACACTTTTAAGGGGAAAAACATATTTAATATGTTTTTATACACTCAAATGTTAGGGTGATGATCATGTGTAAAACATTAGTTCAGCATGTCCTCTAACACAGCAAATGAACAAACGGCCAGATCTCAGGAGGGACCGTTTATGTATAAATAATTTTTATACTTTTGACTAGGCCTGGGAAAGTAACACATTTTGCTGGATGATATTTTGTCCAACAAATTGTTGATGATAAACGATATTGTCAACATTATCTAGACCAAAATAACCACTAATATAATGTTAATATATCATAATAATGCAAGTACACCCTTTAAAATGCAACAAAGAAACCTTCATTTAACATTGAAATGTCCAGAACCAGAACTTCTAAATGAATAAAAATAACAAACAAAAATTAAATAAAAAAGGAATCTCACTCCCTGTTAGAAAATGTTGCACCAAAAACAATAAAAAAAAGACCCAAAACAATAAATACAATGGCCTATCCATTGTCAACAGCCAAAACTGCACTTCAATAAGGATGGAAAAATTATTGAGATGGGCACGTGACGTGTCAAGGGGTCTTTACATAACACCCCCCACCCCAAATCCGCACAAGCCTGCTGTGTCCCCCCCACTTCTGAAATCAAAATTTCGTCCCTGCAGGCACCAACCTAGGGTGAACGCTACCTTTGCTGCGCCCCTGCTTCAGAACACCCGATTTAATTGAATGATTTACCTCTGCTGCACGTTTTTTGCTAATTAACTCAATTTGTACCACGTGTGCTAAAGCAGGAACACAGTAAGCATGCAGGTAGTGGACTCAACGTGGGAAACAATCCTTTTGAATCAAATTAAATGTCTAAACTGCAATATCTCGTTCGTATTTTCTTTATTATTAAAAAATAACCCAAATAAAATTCAAGAATATATTATGCCAAATTTTCTCCAAGACGTTAAGTTTTGTTTCAAACTTCAGTTAAGAGATATTTAAATAACCGTTTGGGAACCCTAATGTTTTTCTAGCATTAAGCTTATTTACCCGAAGCGTGTTATGATCGAGGAGCGACTGGAGGCGCGGGTAAATATTAGCATTAGCACACAGCGAGGCCTGCTTGTCGCTTTAGGCCTCCGGAAGCCCCGTCTGTGGGCTGGGAAAGCTTTACCTGAGCAAAGCACAAGGATACTCACTCAGGTGGAAACAGTTTGAGCTCTTCTATGATTCCGAGGAATCCAAAGAGAGTCCTCATTTGTTCGGACGTTGTGCTCGGAGAAACATTTGTCACCTGAATGACGTGCGTGTTAGAACTCATTTTTACACAGCAGTAAAAACAAGCAAGCAGTTAAGTTTGAAGTTAGAATCAAAGTATCAAATATTAACAGAGTCAAATTCATCAAGCGAATACAAGAAATATCTTCCCCCAGATAAAAGGATGTTGATGAAAAATGCGATGGGTAACAATGCAGCTGCCAAATGGCCGCAACTGTCGTGACTACGGAGGCTGCTGTGCTGCCTTCAGGTGTCGTGTTTTACGCTGGTATTTTAGACTTTCTTTAATGAAATCTTGTCCGGTTCTGTTTAGGTTATAAAAGTAGAACACTCGTAGGTTATAGCGTGTTATTACAATGTACAACCCCACTAAGGTTTTAAAAAAGATTTAACTTCGTAAATATGGACATTTTAAACATAAGTAAAATAAAAAACAACAAAAATAAATGTTAATGAAACGCATTTCAAAGTCACTCTTACTCACAATAAGGCTTTTGTAACATGTCAATAGATAACCTATTTATGTAAGAGAGCTCCAACATAAATACAGACAGTATACTGAATGTAATATTAGCAAAATATATTTTCTGTATATTTTCGGGGTCGCGTCTGTCCCCACGACCTCGGAACCGACCCCGGTAAATCGGCCGAAAATTGATGGATGGATGGATATTTTCTGTAAGAATTGGCCATAATGTGACATGACTTTTCTGCAGTTTTATATCTGACATGTTTAATTAGAAAAATATAAACCCATGCTGTTAAAAGTTTGTAACTTCTTATATTTATTTACTTTTAAGCTAAAAGTTTTAACTTAATTTACTGTATTGTTTAAAATTCCTGCGCTTCACCTTCTTGCCACTAGAGGGCGTATGATTTGAGACGTTTGTAGCGCTTTAGCTAGCTGGTGATAGCTCTTTCTGTGCTGGTCGAATTAACCTTTTTGAACACAAATAATTAAAATAGATTTACTAAGTTTCAGTAGTTAAGTAGTTTTTATAAGGGAATGCGTTCTGACATTCTCGTTATTTAGAACAACTATGTTGTTCACCCTCATTTAAACCCCAAAGTATTTTATGTGCGTTTTATTTTGAAGGAACGTACAGGAAAAGCTAGTTGGTTGTGTCTTGTTTAGCTTTATAAACATTGCCTGTAGTAACAGTTTATGTCCGCTAGAGAGCAGAATCCTTCCCCTTGACAGGATTGAGTTGTGTTTTCATCCAGTTGAGCTAAATATAACATGTAAATCCCTTATAGATAGTAGGTAGGTATGTGGTATCAAATCAAATGACAGATTATAAATATTTTAATTAAAGTTTATTTAGACAAAGAACAACCAGTGAAAAAAATTGCATTTCTATTCTGTTGTTGTTTTTTATTATTTTTTTAATAGTTTACACTCATTGTGAAATCCAAATACATAAATGTTTTTCCTGATTGAAAAAAATATGGACCGTTGGTACATAAAAACAGAAAAAAAAATTGAAATCAATATCTGTATTAATGTTTGAGTGTTTATTAGACGCAGTTGGGTATTTACTGGTCTTTGAACTAAGAACTAATAGTTTTATATCAGACATGTTTGATTAATAAAATATAAACCTATGCTGTTGAAATGTTGTAACTTAATATACTTATTTATATTACCTAGCAAAACTTAATTTGATTAATTAAAATCCCCTACCTTGGATGTAGTTTTGCCCTGTGGTGAGTATATTCTGGTATGTTTGTAGTGCTGTAACTAGAGCTAGCTACAGCACTACAAAGATGCCCAGTGATGCCCAGAACTAGCACCAGAAAATCTGCTGCTAGTTCCTGCTTTAGCTGATGGATTTAATACTGTTGATCAGTCACAGATGATTGACAGATTTATTGAGTTTTGGTAATTAATTGGTTTGTATAAGTGAAGACGTTCTGGTTTTCCCATTATTTAGACTAATTTACCAACCAAATCATAATGAACATTACATAACCTGCCACTTAATCACAGGTCAGTTTGACCCATGACCTTTCAGATGTAGAACAGTGACAAGTGGGTCTTTGTTTAATTAAGTCTCTCCATCATGTTTACTGGTTCAGTCTGACTTTTGAGCTCTCTGGTGCAGCAACTGAGTTCAGTGAAGAGAACGAACCTCTAGAGGGTTGAACAGACAACGAAAATAGAGCTTAACATTAATTCATTAGTGTTTACTTTGCTGACTTCAGTTTAGTAATAATTCTTAAACAGTGAAGTCTTAGATGATGTGATTGTATAGCCTACTCACAAAGTTTTAAATATGTGTCTTTCAATACATATTTATATAAAATCACAAGATTATTTTTTAAGTGAACAAATGTGTAAATATTGAAAATGTCAGTGATAATCTGGATAACAAACCAAAGAGACGCACCCCGACTGTATTTACAGCTCTTTTAAGACAGAAAAATAATTAGTTGTTTTTATAGATAAGATCCACCAAGACCAGATGAATTCCAGAAGACAGCATTACAGGGGCATTATGGAAGTTTGACAGCCAACACATGTATAGAAATAATAAATTTCTTCTTCATACATTCTCCTGCAATGCTCTGGTCCTGTAGAATGAGCCCTGGCATTTGTACTGTGATTGCCTGTTTTTCTGTAAAATCACAGAAAAAGAGAGCTGTTCGGGTCGAGCAGGCTGCTTCATGCACGTTCACGTTCAGGCATAGTCCGTAGCATTTGCTATAGCTTTAGTCTATGTCGCTGTTCCTAACACCTAGTGACAAAGCTAGCTACATTTTTGAGGACCCTTAGCTACTTTCTGTAGAACTTTCTTCTAGATATTTCCTGCAAATTAGCAACAAAATAGCCATTTTCGCTCCGAACCGTTCTTTGAACGTTGTTTCAGGTGTCATTAAGGATATAAATGTTACAGATACTGTGAATGTTACTAGAGTGTAGCTCACCTTGTAAGATGCCTGACTCCCATGCAGATGACCTGGGTTTGATTCTGGGTGTGAACATAGTTAATTTAGAGTTTCTTTTTTACATTAATGGTATATTTTTTCACAGTAAGATGCCCAAATTTTTATTTGAGACTCACCAAACGGCATTGAATTCACAGACAAAAAAGATGTGGGTTCAACTTTCATTTTGAAGCAATTTTTCAAGCAAGGGAAGGGCATGATCTGAGCATGCAGGAGGACTGACCCATCATAAACCTTTGTTGGCTGTGCTGAAGAGAAAGGTACAGAACCAAATTATTTAATTAATTAGCTGCGCGTTCTCCTGTCCTCTGTCCTCCTGGCCACACACACACACACACACACACACACACACACACACACACACACACACACACACACACACACACACACACACACACACACACACACACACACACACACACACACACACACACAAGGGACTGTCTCAGCTGTTATTTTCGTTAAGGAGTGTGCACGTACAGCATGCGCGCCTCGTGCACGAGCCTACTATTGAAGCTGCCGTTACGCTTTTGGCCTGAGGGGGCAATCGCGAGCATAAAAATTCAAAACTCCGTAAAGTCCCTTTAAGAAAAGACACACGAGGGTTCTGGTTAGAGTGTTGTTTTTTTATTTAACATCAGTGTGACGAATGTAGAAAACAAGTAAAACTTTCATTTCCTATTGAAGAACGATTGGCTGCTTAAGGTGGAAAAATGCTGATTTATTTTCTTGTCCATTAGTGCTGAAACTGATTCAGGGAGCGGTTCATATAATGCAGGCGTGAGCCATAGTGGTCCTCTGGGGCTGCTATCTAGCATGTCTTTGTATTTTCCTGCTCCAACACACCTGATTTTAATCAGCAGGATAACAAAATGTTTCTGCAGAGCAAGGTGAGCTCATGAACGAAAAGCTGAATCAAATGTGTTGGAGCAGGGAAATTACTAAAACACGCTGGACAATGGCCCTCGAGAACCGCCACCCCTAACATGTTGGGACCAGTTTGGACTGGTAAAGGGTTAGAAGGAAAGAGTACGACACATAGTCATACAAATGTCGCCAATTTCTGTCTCTGTGCAGACCAGAGGAAAACTTACAGAAAAGGATTCCTGCAAGAACTTGTTACGCTTTTTAAAAACTTTTCTAAAAGGCCATGATAAATGTTGGATTCAGTCTTTAAAGTGACAGTGTGTGTTTACCCTGGTGATAGGGGGCAATACTGTCCTAAATCTTTGCAAGCAAGCATTATTTTTGTGTTCAAATAAGACCTTATCAACAGATGGCCATTAGGGTCAAAAATCCCTGGGAGTGCAGCCTCCAGCAAAATAACAAGAACATCAGACTCCCTTTCATCACTGGGAATGAGATAAGACGTAAATGTGTAAAACAATGACTTTTATTATTGGTGAAAGTTTAGTAATCATTTGTTATAAATCAGTAAATGTGTTTTGTCCTCACAGGCTCCTGTAGAGGAAACATGGCATCCAATATGGTGCCCCCCAGAGACTTTGACCCGCGTCCATGTATTTTAGAACAGATTTTGATGAAACTGCCAATATTTTCAACAACTGGGCATCTTTTAATTCATTTACAACATTTTGATGGATATTTCCAGAGATTAATGGTAAAAACTACACATTGTCACTTTAATAAACAGTTTGAAGTTTGTTTCTATAAAGCAAGACAGTGTAACTTTATGAACGTCTTCTTGATCTCCTGGTTTAAGGCAAAACAACACAAGTGCTCATAAACTGACTTTTTAGTGCCACATGATGCTTTCTGCTATGAACAAACTCCCTCTAAACAACAGTTGTGCACATTTTCCTATTAACTTGTTTTTCCCTGTGGTGTAAAGTAATACATTTTTCAAATGGATGTAGGCAGTTAGTCATGTGTGTATGAACTTATGTTGACTCTATGCATACTTTACTTTTTTGTAGTTATGTTTAGAACACTTGATCAGTTTAAGGTAATGAAAGTTAAACAAACATGCTGAACCTTTGGAGGGTCAACAGTCCCTAATCTGAGATGACACAATTGTGACAGAAGAACAGGTCAGGCCATAATGACACGGTTTGCTTCACGTCTACACCAGACCTTTAGGACACGATTTACTTACAACAGCGTTTTGAGTTTAAAGCCAACAAACATTTTTTGTTCTTCCTTCACTTTACCTGAAAACATTAAAATTTCCCTCAAATCTCAGAAAGGTTTAGATGTTTTTATTAGTGATGCTTTTATTTGGTTTATTTACTCAGCCTTATCATTGTGATCAGGGCATGGTAACACCAGCAGCAATGCCAGTCGATGTTTTAGTTCATGTTACCTTTTGAACGTCAGCAACAACTGGCCTTATAAAAGGAGAAGTCAAATGGCAAACGTTCACATCCACCAGGCATGAAGGTGTTTGTACTAGCTCTTACCGTGGCCCTTGTGGGTGAGTGTGCTATCATGCTCTTAACAACCATCCTCCATTTCTTTTTGCTCTGTGAGATAAAGCTGCTTGGATGTAAAACAAAAAAGCAAACTTTCTTCAAAAACGATGGATGCAATGAGAGCTTTTTCCAAAACAAGCCAGTAAATTCGGAAGGAGGGAAGAACATGTGCAGTTTTGCCTCAAAGAAAAAAAAAGCCCTTAACTTATTTTACGGAGCCTTAACAAATGTACATTGTCCTGCATATTTATTGTGTTTCCCCAACATCTAATTAACATTTTTATTTTTGTTTGGCAGCTGGTACCCAGGTGAGCTATGGTAAGTCATTCATACATTAAATGAAGAAATCTGTTCACATGTTTGTAGAAGGTTTTATTGTATTACTCTAATGTGTTTCATGTTGTTGCAGCCCCAGAGTTTGTTCCTGGAAAGACCTACGAGTATAAATATGAAGGGCATCTTCTGGGGGGCCTGCCTGAGGAGGGCTTGGCGCGGGCTGGCGTAAAGATCGAGAGCAAAGTTTTAATTGGGGCAGTAACCCCAGACAGCTACATTCTGAAGGTAAACGGTCAGGATTCACGTGTTTTCATTATTTAAATTCATCCATGCTTGAAATTAATTTCAAATTCTGCTAATTTGCAGCTTGAAGACCCTGTACTCTATGAATACAGTGGGATCTGGCCCAAGGAAGATTACCGCCCTGCCACAAAGCTCACTTCAGCCCTATCTGCTCAACTCTTGACACCTATCAAGTTTGAGTATGCCAATGGTGTGGTTGGTAAAGTGTTTGCGCCTGCCGGTGTCTCTGAAGCTGTGGTAAACATCTACAGAGGAGTTCTTAACATCCTTCAGATGAACATCAAGAAGACACAGAATGTGTATGAGCTGCAAGAGGTACAAACGATCTTTCTTCATCCAAGTCTACTCTACAAAGAGCCTAAAACTCACTGGGAAACTTGTTATTTTGTCATAAACTAGCCTGGAGTTCAGGGTGTATGCAAGACCCATTATGTTATCAGTGAGGATTCAAAGGATGAACGTATCCACATTACCAAGACCAGGGACCTGGATCAGTGTTCAGATAAAGTGTATAAGGACATTGGCATGGCAGCGTTTTCTGACAGATGCTCAGAGTGTGTGTCTGTAAGTATTATTTTTCTTTCCCTTCACACTCATAACCCAAATGAAACCTTTAGTTTACGCATTTGCGTGTTGTATACCAATGCAGCGAGGAAAGTCCTTGAAGGGAACGGGTGCTGTTACCTACATCATGAAGCCCTTAGCCTCTGGAACTTTGATCTTGGAGGCAACCTCATCAGAGCTCATCCAGTTCTCACCATTCAACATCGTTAATGGCGCTGCCCAGATGGAGGCTAAGTAAGTGCTTTGAATTTCATTTATTTTTAAAGTCTAAAAACTAAAAGTGTCCAACAGCTGATAGTTATGGGGTTCCCAAATGCATACAGGCAAATCCTGAAGCTCCTGGAAGTCAAAAACACTCCTGTGCAGCCTGTCGAAGCTGACTACCTCCCCCGTGGATCATTGGAGTATGAAATTAGCACTGAGCTCCTTCAGAACCCAATTCAGCTTCTGAGGATCACCAACACTGAGGCTCAGGTAACATTCCTTTCCTCTCTGGTTTGTACTGGCAGCATCTTGTATTCTTTTATTGAGAAATATTGTGCATCTCAACAGATAGTTGAAACTCTGAACCAATTGGTAAGCCTCAATTTGGGCAAGGCCCAGGAAGAATCCCCTCTGAAGTATATTGAGCTCATCCAGCTGCTGCGTGTGGCCAAATACGAGACTATTGAAGCCCTCTGGACTCGGTTCAAAGCCAGAAGTGATTACAGGTAATGTCAGGAAAAGACCACATGTCCCCCCTGTCCCCCCTAAACTACGTCTATGTACTGATGCTATTTCTCTCCCAGACACTGGATGCTGACCTCCATCCCAGCCGTTGCTAATCATGTGGCTCTGAAGTTCATCACGGAGAAGGTCGTTGCTGGGGATTTGACTAATGTTGAAATTGCTCAAGCCTTGATGACATCCACCCGGTTGGTGACACCTGACCTGGAAGCCGTCAAACTTTTCGAGGCAAGCTAAAGGATTTCTTGAGTCTTTACAGTGAAATGGAATCAGCGACTTAAATCAATATTTTTATTGTTCAATCAGAGCCTTGCTATGACTCCCAAGATTCAAGAAACCCCATTTTTGAGTGAGACTGCCTTGCTGTTCTACGGCAGCATGGTTGATAAGTACTGTGTTCAGCATCCTTCATGTCCAGCTGAGCTTGTCAGAGTATGTATAGTTTAAATGTCTGAATTCCTAAAATTAATGATCTGCCATTGCATGTGTGACTAACCGTTACTTTGTTGTACCTTCCACAGCCTGTCCATGATCTCATCGTTAAGGCTCTTGATAGACGTGAATACGAACAGCTCACTATCATTCTCAAAGTTCTGGGTAATGCTGGACATCCCAGCAGCCTGAAGCCAATCATGAAGCTTCTGCCCGGCTTCGGCAGCACCGCTTCAAGCCTTCCACACAGAGTTCACATCGATGCTGTCCTGGCCCTGAGGAAGATAGCAAAGAGGGAACACAAGATGGTGAATTAGCCTTTCCTTCTTTTATAACACACACCACAATTACCTATCTCTTGTCTGAAGATGTACTAAGAACATTGATTGTCGTACATTAGATCCAGGACATAGTCGTCCAGATCTTCATGGACAAGAATCTTGAGCCAGAGCTCCGCATGGTATCTGCCATCGTGCTCTTTGAGACCAAGCTGCCCATGGGTCTGGTGACTACTCTTGCTCAGAACCTATTGAAAGAATCAAACCTGCAGGTCGCCAGCTTCGTCTACTCTTACATGAAAGCCCTCGCAAAGACCACCTCTCCTGACCACTCCTCGGTGTAAGGACACAAGCTCATCTTCAATATCTGCATGGATTAATCCCTGAACCACATCAGCATTTAGAATCCCAAACGTGTATTATTTTTTTGTTCGACAGTGCTGCTGCCTGCAATGTTGCCATCAGGATCCTCAGCCCTAAATTGGACCGACTGAGCTACCGCTTCAGCAGAGCCTTCTATTACGACACATATTACAGTAAGAGTGTTGCAGAAAATGTAGTCTGACATCTTTCATCCACATAGAAAAGGTCTGATAGGTCATCTGTTTTACCCTGCAGATCCTTGGATGCTGGGTGCTGCTGCCAGCGCCTACTACATCAATGATGTTGCAAGTGTATTGCCAAGAACCATCATGGCTAAAGCTAGCACTTACTTCGCAGGAGTTCACATTGATGTTCTTGAGGTATGACTCACATTTTTTCCTCTACAAAAAATATAGCTTATTGATCTATAGAAATTATTTTTAGGAATGCAATGTGTGTGATTTGATTATCAAGCCAAATTATGTCAACATCTGATGTCATTTGTTAATCACCAGGGGTCTCATTTATCAAACATTGCGTAGAATCCTTACTAAAACCATACTTAAGCTCAGCAAAAAAAAAGTACTTACGCAAAGTAGGTTTGTGATCTATCAAACATGGAGTACGCACAGCTGCACGCAATCTCCGCTTCATAAATCGGAGACTATCTAGAAAGGTTCTCAGCTGCATTTTAGTCACATCCCGCCCTCACCACGCCCACTTACTGCCATAAATAGTCAATGCAAAGTGCCTTGTGGATCTCATGCATATACATAAGTCGGATGTTGCAGTGCTCTGCCAATGACGATGGCGACCGTAGATCAAGGCAGATCAAGGAAGCGCAATTTCACAGAAGCAGAAATTGAGGTACATGTGGGTGAGGTGGAGAAATGAAAGGAAGTACTTTTGCAAAACAAATAAGAGAAAATCCACGGAGTGGTACAGCGTTGCTGAAGCTGTCAATGTTGTGAATTCTTCAGAGAGATCTGTGGTGGATATAAAAAAAAATGGTCCAATCAGGATTTGATCCCCAGACTCCCAGGTGAAAGTCATGTGCGCTAACCAGTCAGCCAAACGGAAATCTTCCTTGTCCAAGTAGCCAGGGCGTATGATCAATCGGGTCACAGTGACAGGACACACACACTGTCACAGACGCATGACATTCTGTCTCAATCTGTCCCCCTGCTGATTTTCTGCATTCCGTATTCTGCGCTTCAGGCTGTGTGTGTGTGTGTGTGTGTGTGAGTGAGCGCGCATGTGTGTGTGTGTGTGTGTGTGTGTGTGTGTGCATGTGGGGGGTCTTGTTCTGTGTGAAAACGAAGCAGTACAAGTCATAATGCTGCAGGATTTCATAATTTTATCCTTCTCAGCAGCAGCGCTGCAGGTGCTCTCCATGTCCAAAATGTGCGTAAGCCAGGTCCTTGGTCAACTTAAAGTTGTGCATGTTTTTCCACTATGTTTTCTTTCATAAATCCCAAAGTTTGAGTGGAAAGTTGCTTACGCAGTTTTCTGACCTCGTTTTGCGCATAAGCAAGCTTGATAAATGAGGCCCCAGGACTATTGTGGCTTTGTAAACATGGAAAATGGTGACATTGAAAGTGTGCGTGTTGATCCATTGTTGTTTTTTAAAGTTTGGAGTAAGAACAGAGGGAGTGCAGGAGGCTCTTTTCAAAGTCCGTGATCTTCCAGAGGATGCTGACAGAATCACAAAGATGAAACAGGCTATCAAGGCTGTAAGGATAAGAAACACACATTTCTTTACCAGAAATATTCATGAATATATAATATTAAAATTAATGATGCATTCGTTCTACATGTGCGCCGCTTCTAACTTGTTCTTTCCCCATCACAGCTGACTGAATGGAGAGCCGATCCTTCCAGGCATCCACTGGGCTCCGTGTATATCAAAGTTTTAGGACAGGAAATTGCATTTGTCAACGTTGACAAAGAAATTGTTGAGCAGATTATTCAGGTATTCACACATTTTCAACTATTTGGACTTTCTTTCTAAATAAAAGCTTGTTCTAATTTGCAGATTTATTTTTAAACAGTTTGCAACTGGACTTGATGTCCCCACCTATGGCAGAAAGGCCCTGGATGCTCTGGTGTCTGGTTATACTCTGAAATATTCCAGACCCATCCTGGCTGCTGAGGTTCGTCGCATCCTTCCCACTGCTATTGGTCTACCCATGGAGCTCAGTTTCTACACTGCTGCTGTGGCTGCTGCATCTGTTGAATGTAAGTTTTAATAATATAATTTAACTCTTATGGTCTGAGAGAATTGCTCACACTGAATGCAATCTCTTGCTTTTCATAGTGCATGCCACTGTGTCTCCACCTCTGACCGGGAAATTCAATCTTGCACAACTTTTGAATTCTGACATTTCCCTGAAGGCTGATATTGCTCCAAGGTAACTCATTTGTTTATGCCTTAACTGGAAATCTTTTATTTTATTACTAGTTAAACTTGTTAATTTCTACCCCTTTGCAGTGTTTCCATGCACACTTATGCAGCAATGGGTGTGAACACAGCTTTCCTCCAGGCTACTGTGATGATAAGAGCCAAAGTTCACTCAGTTGTTCCTAAGAAGATTGAGGCAAGACTTGATGTGAATAAGGGCTACTTTAACCTCAAGTTCCTGCCAGTTGAGGATGATGAATCAGTTGCTTCTGCACAGTACGTATATGTCTGCATCACCAGATGAAATGAACATGAACTATTGTTTTCATTTTGTTCATTTGTCTTCTTTTTCTGCAAAAGTATTGAAACGGTTGCAATTGCAAGAAATGTGGAAGATCTTGCAGAAGCCCAAATCACACCCATTCTTCCAGCTGTGCCTCTAATAAGAAAGAACTCCACCTCAATTAATTCAGTGATGTCCCTTCCTGAAAATAGCGTAAGTGGGAATTTTGATCGTTTTTAAGGCTCATGAAAGCAGAATCCAACTTTTTTTCCAATAATTTTAACAACTCTTTAATGTTTTTTTTTTCAGTCTGCATCATCTGAAATCCTTTCTGTTAACATGCGGAATCCAATTATCAACAACTTTAAACTCCCAAGAGCCTTTGCAAAGAAATTCTGTATTGCAGCTCAAACATTTGGAATCAAGGCCTGCACTGAGATTGAGTCTCGTACTGCCACCTTCATCAGAAACAGCCCAATCTATGCCATAATAGGAAATCACACTGTTCATGCTAAGATGTATCCAGGCAAGTGGATTTAATTTACTGATGTTTTTGACCAAAGTCACACATAAGCCATAGTTGTAAACCTAGGTTTTTGGTTATTTGTATTACAGCTGCTGGCCCAGTCATTGAAAGGATTGAAATCGAGGTTCAGGTTGGAGATGATGCAGCAGAGAAGATCATCAAGGTCATTAACCTGAGCGAGGAAGAGGAAATTCTTGAAAACAAGAATGTCCTGATGAAACTGAAGAAGATTCTAATTCCTGGTCTGAAGAACAGCACAACCACTTCATCCAGCTCCAGCAGCTCCCGCTCCAGCAGCTCTCGCTCCATCGCCTCCACTTCTTCTACATCATCAAAGACATCGTCCAGCTCCTCTTCTCGCCGCAGAAGTAAGATGGTTGATCTTAATGACCTCATTGAGATAACATCACAAACATCATCCATCAGCTCCTCCAGCAGCTCCTCCAGCAGACGATCAAGTCGTAGCTCAAGTAGCTCGTCCAGCAGCCGGTCATCACGTCTGTCCAGCAACGCCTCTTCCAGCTCCAGTTCCTCCAGCTCCATGTCTAGGGTCAGTCCCATTCCTAAACCTAAACAACAAATGTATGTTTTTATTTGACACACAGACACGTGCAGCATTTTTATTTTCTTCATTTTCTATTACAGCAAGAACTGTTCAAAATGAACTTCACCAAGCACCACATCCACCAGGTAATTATCAGATGCCTCCTTCATTAGGACATCTCATCCCAAAACACAAAAGTTAGATATAAAAAAATCATGTTGGATTATGTAAGTGTTTTTAAATATCCTAAATGTGGTGTCTGTTGGTTTGCAGCATTCTATCTCTGCAGAGCGCGACAGCAGCAATAGCAGTGCCCAGAGCTTTGAATCCATCTATAACAAGGTGAGTCAATAGATAGAGACCCACGGTTGTAATATTACAACATCAGATTTAAGTCTACAAAAATAAACCTTCCCCATTTTTTTTCTTTTTAAAACCACATTTACATTGCTAATAGGTCCTATTGTTCAGTTCTGCAACACTATTGGCTGTTAAAATGTGTAAATAGGCCCGTTTATCTGGCCTCCTAGAACAACATGTGAAAGGTTAAAAAAAGATTTTGCAGTTGTTTTCTAAATTTGGGTTTCTGGGGGTTAAATTGTGCAAATGGAACATTTTGATTGATCACATTGTATTAATGCCCACTTCTTTGTTGCACTTTCAGGCCAAATACCTCTCCAACACGCTGAAGCCCAAAGTCACTGTTCTCATTCGTGCTATCAGAGCTGACCATAAAAATCAGGGTTACCAGATTGCAGCTTACTACGACCAAGAAACCGCCAGAGTGCAGGTCATCATCGCCAACCTCACAGAGAACGACAACTGGAGAATCTGTGCTGATGGTGTGATGCTGAGCCGCCACAAGCTGATGGTAAACATAGAAGCCTATTCTAAAGGCGGAGGGGAAAATGTAATAAGTTAAATAATTTTTTTATTTTCCTTCAGGCCAGGGTAGCTTGGGGCATTGAATGCAAGCAATACAATACAACCTTTACAGCGGAGACTGGTCGCGTTGGTAAGGAGCCTGCCGCACGTGTGAAGATGGCCTGGGACAGACTCCCCAGAGGCATGACAAGATATGCTGAATGGTAAATAATCCAATACCCTGTACTTTTCAAACACATCATCTTCACACACACACGTCTCAGAGTAAACAAAATAAACCTTTCCCTTCCGTTCAGGTTGTCTCCATATCTGTACCGTGCTGCTGAGCTAAGTGGAGTGAACCAGACGAGAGTTGATAATGAGCCTAAAGAGATCAAATTTAGTGTTTCTGTTGCCAACGAGACAAAAGTGAATTTAGTGCTGAAGACACCAAAGGTAATTTGTTGCAACAACCACTTAGATTACAGTTAGTGTTTCCGGTATTGTTATATGAATGATTTTTGTTTGTTGGAATGAAATACTTTATACAGAAAACTCTTTATGCACTTGGAGTCCCGGTTCCCGTTTACCTGCCATTCGGAGACACTGCTTCTGAGCTGGTGGCGTACCAGAACAGCTTGAGTGACCAGATCAGCTACATGCTCACCAAGGCTCACGCAGGTAAAAGTCCTTCATTATGAAGTATTCATATCAATAATTAAGTTGTTAAATTATGTTTTTTTTTCCATCCTCCTTTTCTTTCCAGCTGAGTGCAGTGTGATTAAAGACACAGTAGACACTTTCAACAACAGGAAGTACAAAACCGAGATGCCTCTCTCCTGCTACCAGGTCCTGGCTCAAGATTGCACACCCGAGCTTAAATTCATGGTCCTGCTGAGGAGAGACCAAACACACGAAAGGAATGAGATCAATGTCAAGATTGGCAACATGTAAGACACCAGGACTGAGCTAACTTTAAGAACAAAATAAAAACCCAGCCAAAACTATCACGTCCTGCAGTGACAGAAAAAAATGTAACATTTTAAAACTGTTTTGTGACAGTGACATCGACATCTATGCCAAGGACAACACTATCATGGTGAAGGTTAATGACGTAGAAATCCCTGAAAGCAACCTGCCGTATCAGCATCCAGCAGGTTTGCGTTATCAGATCAAAATCAGAGTCCCCTTTATTAAACAATCAGTTACTTAAACATAATTTTTATCAATTACAGGCAGCATAACAATCACAAAGAAAGAAGACGGCATCATCCTCCTTGCTCCCAGCCATGGTCTTCAGGAGGTCTTCTACAGTTTAAGTGACCTCAAGGTGATACAATAAAACTCGCTAAGCAAGCAATCAAAGCACATATAGATAACAGTACCATCACAAATCTGCTGTTTTTTAGATTAAAGTTGTGGACTGGATGAGAGGTCAGACTTGTGGACTGTGTGGAAAGGCCGACGGGGAGGTCAGACAGGAGTATCGCACACCTAATGACCGCATAGCCAAGAACGCAACCAGCTTCTCTCATTCCTGGGTTCTCGCTGGAAAGAGTTGCCGTGATCCTTCTGGTGAGACCCGCGACGCCTGATAAATTGCTCTGTTTTAAAAAATTGCTGAGACTCAGCAGGGTGAAATGTATGAATTCATTGCTTACGCTGCATTACAGAGTGCTACATGCAGCTTGAATCTGTGAAGCTGGAGAAGAAAGCCAGCCTTCTGGGCGAGGAGGTCAAATGCTACTCTGTTGAACCTGTCCTGCGCTGTCTGCCCGGCTGCATGCCTGTGAGAACCACCTCTGTCGCCGTTGGTTACCACTGTGTATCTCTCGGTGAGTCTGAAAGAAAACACACCTTAACACTGAGAACAACACTGTCGTCTCAAACCCCCAGTGAGTTGTAGAAGATGGCTGTTCATACAGAGCCAGCTTCTGTTGGAGGTTTCTTTTTGTTTAGGGGGGTTTTTACTCTCCACTGTCGCTACATGCTTCCTTAATATGAGGATTGCTGTAAAGTCTCTGACACAATTCAGTGACTCGATGCAATCTGCTAGGGGTTCCTTACATAGGAAACCTTTAACTGACTGGCATAATGAATTGACCTCAGTGCACTGATGAGTAGGTTTAGTTGGAAAGTTTAGTTTCTGAAGTGCCTTGAGACGAGTCTTGTTGCAATGTGGGGGTAAATAAACAAACTGCATTGAAACTAAACAGTTTTTAGATTGCAGAGTTGTGTCATCTCTCTTGTGAGACAACAAATTTGCTTAACTGCTTAACTTCTCTCCTTACAGATTCCAACCTGAACCGCTCTGATGGTCTCAGCAACATCTACGAGAAGAGCATCGACGTGACCGAGACAGCAGAAGCCCACCTGGCATGTCGCTGCACTCCTCAGTGCACCTAATCTCACTGCTTTCTGACATTTTAAGTTTTATTTTTGTGTTCATGCAAGCTTGTGTTACTTGAATAAAGAAACATGTGCAGTATGTGTTGTGATCTATTTCAATAAAACAAGCAGATAAGTTATTCATTCTAAATCATACATGGTGACTGAAAATGTTAGCTAACTGACAAATCTGTTTTCTAAATTTGTGGGACACTAGCGTAATGAAAGACAGACAACAAATAATTCATGCTGACAGAAAAGAATTGAGAATTTGATGGAGAGAAAAACAACAGGACAAAAAGAGAAACAATTATAAATTGACTGAACTAGTATGATCGTGTAAGGATAGGGCATGTATCTGTACTTGTTGGATTATAAACCTCTACATCTGTATATCATGAAATGAAACATACATTTGATAAGGATTGACAGAACATTTAACATCTTTTTCATGATAAAGGGACTAACATCGCCATGAGCGGGCTGATATAAATGGAGCAGTAAAAAACTAGTTTTGGGGTAGCAGGATTTAGTTTGACCCTGGAACCATGAAAGTGATTCATGTGTTGCTCATCACAACCAGCAGTTCCACTGTGCCACATCTGGTTAAACTGCAGCAGCACCAATATTTTACTCACTACTTACATTAGCACACACCATTGAAACACCATGGATGGGTGGTGTATAATTCCCTTCTTTTTTCTTCTTTAGGGCAGATGAAGTGCAAATAACAGATTGGAAAATTGCTGCCTTCTGACAAATTTTAATAGTCCTAAAACTGGGATTTCATTAAGTGGGGTTTATTGAGCATGTTTAGTTTTCACACCTAATATATTTGATTTTTTTTTCTCCTATTTTGATGGATGTCCAAAAATTACACAGTTTAAAGATGTGGGCATGAAAATTGTAGAAATTCAGTTTAACTATACTTTATTATTTATATAAAAATGAACTGGCTTCAGTTTTTCATTTTGTTAAGGGATCTTTTCATAAATCATTATAGAAAATCAAAATGTTCTCCTCTAAACAGTGAAGTACTGTGTTTTGCATGGCCACTCAAAGACGTCTAACAAGAAAGCTACTGCCACTAGTGCATTGTAATTAGCTGTATTTTGTTTACTTTCGTGTTCTCAGTTATTATGGAAAATTGTATTTATAGCTGCAGCAAAAAGATTCAATATGTCTGTGTCCTACATGCATTTTTAACTAATAGGTTTGATTTAAAATAATAACCTACGTCGATAAATCCACCAGCCTGATAGTCTCAGCTACCCTCGATCAGATATGTAGCTCTCGTTACCTGGCAGCCACACCAACACGTTATACTTCAACCCATCTTAGACCAAGCAGTACTATGGTAAATGCATAGGATTTTCCCCAATTCATCCAGCAAACTATTAGCGAGAAAAATGAGGTTCAGTGACTCAAAAGTGAAGCAGCGTCAACAAAAAGAGCTGCAGAATTTCTGTGGTCTCCCTCAGAGATCCACCTGACCAGCAGGACTACAGCCAAGTGTCCACCCATCCCTGCTGCCCAGGGAAACGGGAACAGTCAGCTGCCTGCTCTAGCAACTGTTCCCTGTCAGGAGACAGGAGAAGCCAGGCACCCGCTAAAGGTTCTTATGCAGCCTCACTGACCAAGCAGTTAAATGACACAGCATTTACCCCCATTCAACCAGCAAAATAAAGTACAGAAATATAATTTTACTTGCTGATAAAAAGAAGCAGAAACTGCTTGGAAGATCTGTTAGTGCAGTCAATAACCACAGCTGGCCCTCTTTGTCCAAATAATCCCACGATTAACAGGCATTTTCCCGGAGCTAACGCTGAAGTTACATGGCTCATCTCATGATGCTTGTTAATTACTCAGAAATGTAAGCATTACATTACACTTAAACAGAAGAGTTACAAAAAAAGTCACCCCGTCAGAGTTGTCGTGTATGTAAACTAGATCTATGAAACCTAAAATGATAATCTGAACTAGGCTGTAATCATGTTTATTTCTGCTGTGAAATTGCATTTTTAACATAGGAGTCAATGAGGATTTGCGCAATTTTGGTGCCAGCCCCTAGTGGATGAGGGTGTAATTGCAATCGCAGAATTAATTCTGCATCCCAGAATTATGGGGGCCTGGTTTAAAGGCAGCCCGCAGCCTGTTCAGTTGCATTACCACCACCGCCTTCACCAAATCACCCCCAATGAAACCATCAAAAGAGAACAACACTACAACCTTCCAAACAAGCTAGTGGTCAACAGAAATGTGGAGCAGGACTTGACTCAGCAACCAGGTAATTGGTTGGCCTATCACCTGTTGGAGGGCTGAGTATAAATGGGCAGCGGTGTGGCGCTATCCTCTCTCTCCTCCCTCCCGCAAGTTTCCACTTTGGCAAGGACTTCCGGTGCCAGCAAACTTTGGGAGAGTCGGAGTGTGGCGGTGTGTGTGTGGATCGCTCGGATGCTGGCTCATCCGGCAGCACACATGGCTCTCTGCAGTATCGGGTGGTTCCACTTAGTGTGCATTGTTTGCATGTTTGGAGTTTTTCACCTCACGTCTGATTGTTTGCATGAGCGTCTGGGGTGAATTTTTTTCAGACAATGGATGGATGGATGGTCCACACTTCCTCAGGAGCCTCAGCCTGCCCCTTTATAATTAGTTAATTTTTGTAGCCAGTTTATCATTTTAGTAATTAGTTTGAGCCTTTTTACTAGTTTTGTTCTTTTCTGTCAATAAACTTGTTACTTTTGGGGAACCCAGTCTCGAGCTTCTTTAATAAGAGTCAACCTACATGACCTATTATATTCCTTATATTGTCCTTATACACCATGCTCAGGACAATCCAGGCTCTTCTCATGCATCGTTCCACAAATGTGGAATGACCTACCAAGCACTACCAGAACAGGGGCTTCCTTTTCAATTTTCAAGAAACTCCTGAAGACCCTGCTCTTCAGAGAGCATCTTCTAAACTTGCACCCTCCCTGCACCCGTCCCCCCTCTCTACTGTCCACTACTTGTTCCCTACTCTCCATGACTGATGTCAAGTTGTTGTTGTTATTGTTGTTGTTAGCCTCAAGGGCAACATGCCGATTATCACTTGTAAGTCGCTTTGGACAATAGCGTCTGCTAAATACATGAACATAACCATAAACATAAAAGAACAGATTGCAGAGAAGTGCAACATAATAAACGTAAGATGGAAAAACAAGGCTTTTCAGATTTAGAATGGTGGGGAAAAAGTGAGCAGGAGCAGGGAGGAAGGACAGGAAAAAAAGCGAAAGAGGTACAGGCACAACAGAGGAGAAAGGAGAAGGAGGAGGAATTCATATTTCACAGAAAGGAGGATGATGAGACAGGACCGGCTCCTCGCAGACAGACACATGACGAGGAAGAGCATGGAGGTGCAGCAGCTGCAGATTCGCCCAGACTTTACCCTTACCTGTGTAACGTGATGAAGGAGCTATTCCTCTGAAGGTTATTTACCCTCTCTCCTCAGATGTCTCTGACACAGAACTAATCTGCATGAGACTGCCTCAAGGTCATGCATTTGCTTCTAAACTGCTTTCTTTCCAGCTCAAGAGAAGAATGAAGACAAAGGACTCTTTCTTTTTAATAAATCAAAGAACTCTATTTTTAATAAAGCTAATCAAACAAAGTGTTAGTCAATAATAAGATGTTGACCAATCTGTGAAATGACAATGTTATGATTAGTAAGTTTTAATAAGTAATATGACTTTAATCTAGCTGCACTAGACATTCCGACGACACGTAATGTAAACGCATGACAGATTGCTTTTACTCATCCAATCAAAACCTTCCTTTCTGAAGTGTGGCATAGTCTCTGTGGTGTTTATAAATCTGCCAACTTTGATTCGACCATAAATCAAAACATCCAGATTAATAAAACCAGTCACCACACCATCTTAGTTCAGTTCTCTGAGTTCTCTACAGTTCACCACATTCTAAGAGAAGTATCAGACCGGCCACCCGGACTTCCTTTGTAAGCAAAGAACCAACAAGCTGGATAAAATCTGTTGCATTTTACCAACCAAGCAACGGTTCCTTTCAGAATAAAAGCTGAACTCACTGACCCTCCGGGTCCATCTGACGCTGTCAACCAACTGTCGCTTTTTACCTGGAGACAATCCAAAGACTAGTCTGTCATACTGCTGACGCTGTTTCATCGGCTCCGGTACCGAAGGGGGGTCCGAGGACCTGGCATTCTGGATCTGTACAGAGGTCTTATTTTAAGGGTATGTGTGGAGCGACAAAATGGCGTCTCATGCGTTTATGAAACTCCGATCATAGCTTAAGAGCAAAACATCACAACATTCAGACTTGCTTCTCCGGATACGAGAGTTCTGATGACAAACATCACTCACACATACACCATTCATCTCACGTCTCATTCACACCAAAATCCATCCATTCACTTAGAATTTAGTGTTAGTCTAGTTTAAAATTGTTTAGAAATAAATCTTCTTAAACGTTTTAAAGGTGACTCTCTCTTCTGTTGTCTCTCAGTTAATACAAAGTGTTGCATAATCCCTGCAATAAAAAGTTCCAATCTTCTGGTTAAAAGTACCCAAAGATCCATAAGATTGATTTGATATTTGCTCTTAGATTTTTGAATTTTTGACTTCTTGGATTATTCGCTCATGTGATGTTTGATACTTACTTCAGGTTCCTGGATTCTTGGATAACTCGCTCTGCCCCTGGAAGGAAGTCTCTGGTACGTTCCTGTTTTGTCTCCTCCGCCTGCCGACCCGCTCTCCACCTCGCTCACGCTCCCTCTCCAGATCGATATCCTCGCTCACTCTCCGACTCACCTTCATCTTGGACCGTTTCCCCATCTTGGATATCACCCCGGCTCACTCCCCCTCCAAACAACAACTCTTCTTCCGCATAGTAAGTCCGCCTACAAATAAAGTCTCCCGGAACTACAAAACCCATACTCACCTCTGTTTCCCTGTAGACGCCGCTTCCTGATTCGGATACCCGCTGGACTTCAATGCGCCCTTAGTTTCCTGTTAAATAAGTATCATTTTTACCTTTTATTATCAAACCTGCCTCCGGTCTCTGATTCTGCATGTCTTGGGTCAAGCA